GCAGTTTTATTACTATCACACAAACAGTGAATCCAACATTCTTAACATCTGGATCCGAGAGTTTGAAAATGAAGAGGATTTTGTAGGACAGCACCGTCTCATTGGGAGGATATCCGGTAACAACAGCAGCAAAGACAGAGACTGTTGAATCAAATGTGATGTGATCACTAGTACACTTTTCTCTACATTCAGGTCCACAAACCACAAACTGGCAGATCCAGTATGTCCCGATAGAGACTTTCAAGGCCTTTCAGGTGGAGTTTGAAGTGCGAAGAGGAGGACTGCCATCAACAGGAGGCATTTCCATTGATGATATAAATTTTTCTGAGATTCAGTGTCCACATGCAACCCTCCAGATTGACAATTTTATGGAAATATACAATCAAAGTTCACAAGGTTTCACCATTTATAGCTATAACGTTTATTCAAGCCTAGGATATCGATATTCCTTTGGAGTATCAATGGAACATCCATTTATTGGAATGTTTATTCAGCTTGTTTCTGGCAAATATGATAATGAACTGACATGGCCAGTTCCAGATTCCCAGGTGACTCTACAACTGATAGACCAAAGTTTGAACATTCAGAGTCACATGTCTTATGAGAGAAGTACCACCTCAGACTTGCAGCGGGTGAATGGAAATGGTAAGAGAATAATCACTGAATACAATTAATAATGAGATAACTGAGTCTTGATACAAGTTTCTTTGATACAGGCACCTACCGCTGGGGAAAACCCGAAGACCATGGAACCTATTATATTGATGATTATAATGAAACTGTTTTCTTTGGCCCAAAGATTGGCTTAAAGCATTTTATACCATTTGAGAAAATGCTGTTAAGACACTTTCTGAAAGGAGGAAGTGCTGTGTTTAATGTGTTCTTTGAAGGTATTACAGATATTATTGTATATTTGAAGGTTTTATTCATGTTATTTTAATATTGATTTTACTTTTTAGATGTTAGTCCATTGAACTATATTGATGAACTTCCATGTCCACCAGAATATCCATATCAATACAATGATAATGATAAGGGACCATGCTCACCCAAGTAAGATATGTTTTGTTTTTGAAAATGTAAAAAAACTGTTGTCTCAATTTAACACAGGTAAAAGCACTAGACTTGACTCCCACCACTTTTCATCAAAGTGGGACACTACCCTCTGCTGTACAAACTGCAGACTGCATGCTATTCACCTTATTAAAAGCAGGGCATAGAGATTGGATGAAAACAATCTCAAATGAGTCTCAATGTATCTACCACAATGACTAACCCCGATTTTATTTTGCAGGACTACAGCTACGACCCCCACAACCCACTGCCCTCACACCACAGATGACGACATAAGGTAACACAATGGACATTTACCATTTGATAGAGATGAATGTACTACTATATTATCCATATTACCAATATTTTATCTCATCTAATTAAAGATTAAATATTTGCAGAACTACTCATTCGCACAAAACCACAAAGGACAAAAGGTAATTTGTGTTTTGGTAAAGGAGAACACAATGATTTACAAATTAAGATGGAAAACTGGGTCACAAATTAGTGTTACAAATTACTAACGTTTTCAATGTCTTGATCCCACCAGTGTTTTTGGTTTTGCTCCAGACAAGATTTCATCTCCAGTCCTCATTTTCCTTGGACTGTTGATGCTTTTCATGCAGTAGTGCTGGATTTTACCTGAGGCATACAGGATCCTAAGTAATATTATAATCATTTTACTTTACTGTATTTAGTGTATGTAGCCTGCACTCTGAACCTGGGTTGCCAGTGCCTAAACCTACAGATATTGGACAAATACAAGTTGTGCTTTCTGGATTATCTTCTTGAGAACCAAAACATCAAATTATAACATCAATAATGGAGACATGCCCAATGTTTTTGTAATTAAGAATAAAACAGAATTAAAACTGTTATTGTTATTAGCAATATTTGATTTGAATATTGATGGTGTCTGGGGATAGGTCATGTTTTTGGAAATCTTGCATAGTAGATTCAATTAAATTACTGTCTGTAACTCTAATGTGCACATCATTTGTGGATACTTTACTTTATATGTTGATGAATACTTTAATTCTGCATGTTAATCTATGTTTTTCTTGGTGACCATGTAACCTGAATAAAAAGAAATATATTTTAATTTGTCTTCACAAAATCTGCATTTATATTACAGAGTCAGATTAGGAATGCTTTTAGCCAACAGTAACAATACTTTGTATACCCAACCAGGAACAGATCAGATGTCACTATAAAAAGGCTAAATATGGGTAATACCCCAATAATGACACAAACCATTCAGTCAAACACTGTAAAACAAATAAAGATAGGATGAATGACATGTTCCTGTAGCTGAGAAGAGCAAATAAGCAGATTTACATGTGAAAGGTGTGAAAGGTTTTAGAGCCTCTGGTGCAGAAAATCATCATAATTACTTATAATAAACGTACCACTCAACAAATGTATAAAACGTTACTATATTTATTTTGTCTGACAATATATCCGTCTGATGCCCTCTAAATCCTCTCTATACACCAACATGGAAAGACAGAGTGCTACAAAATATAGGCATGGCTTGACCATTCCAATGTCTCTTTGATGTCCCAAACTCACAATTGCAAAAGGAGTCTCTCTTGTTCATGATTAGTTTAAACTGGTCCAAAATGAGGAAACAGCTTGGAGATGTTCCACCAGGTTAGCCAATAGTGACTCCAAAGCCACACTGGAACTTATTCTTGCGATGGTTTAGAAAAGCTCCCAAAGCTAATGTAAGGGGCAGCGGGAGCAGTTTCTTTTCAAGGGTTGCTCCTACAACCCAATTACTATCAATCGTACCTAAAGGTAAAAGAACATACCCATTAGAATTCAAACTTCAGTGTCAATATACTGATAGAAAATAACTGAATATACCTTTAAATAGTAAATTAGCCTTAGGGAGGTCTAACTGATAACCCAATGATGTTGCAGTCTCTTGCATCCGTGTATTGGCTTCAAATTCCACGCCTACCTGTAACTAAAAAGCCCAGAGAAAAGCTACCCTTCTGTACATTCTTGTGACTTGGATATACTGTAGTAGATATGTACCTGATCATTGGCTTTGTGATAGTATGTTGCATGAGCTCCTCCACCACCCAAGGTCAAAGTAGCGACACAGTTATCACCTGAAAGAGAAATCTTCAATGAAGGTATGGTCGGAATACAAGGTCTGTCAGTTATGGTCAAGTATAAATCACAGTGGGAGTTCTGACCTGTATACCTTCCCAAAAAGGAAGTGACTGTTCCCTCTTCCCCAGGCCTTCGATGATAGACAAGTTCCCCACCCAAAGCCAGTGATGGAGTGATGGACTGCAGATAGTGGGTCACTAAGATACCTAGTAAGGCAATAAGAAACCATATTTACTATGTCATAACCAAAAAAGATTGATTCGGTTTAAACCAGTGGACATAAAGAGAACTGCTTGAAAGCTAACACCTTAAAGTGGCCATATTAAGCCTTTTTCTGTTCTCTGTTATAATGTTGTTTCCTCATCAAAAACAGCCCTGGAGTTGTTTTCGGTTTCATGTTTAAGACACAAACCATAAATATTTAGGCTGAGTTCTTCTCTCAAACAGTAAACATTGTTCCACCTTGTGATGTCATGTGGAAATACAAGAAGTGCTCTACTGTGTTTTTAAACTCCATACACCTTCATGAGAATAATCTGGATAATTTCTTTTTTCTGGGATTTCCAAGCTCTACTGAACAAAAGGTAATTTTGAAACTATCACTTCATGACATAACAAGGTGGAATACAGCATTTTAAGCTTTTGGCAGCTTATAGACAGCCTAATAATACAGGATTACTTAAACATATGTGAATGAAACAAAAAAATAATGGAGTAACTACATTATAGCATAGCTTATAGCTCAGAAGAGTAATTTTTGCATAATATAGGACCTTTAACATTGAATTTCATTGAATTATACTGTCAGATGCAAAGATAAAAAAAACATTAATTATTTATTTAGTTATTTTCTACCTGATCCTACTAATACATCTGGGTTTCCAAGTGTCACAGCTGAGGTGAAGTCTGCTCCTCTGTACTCCATGTCACACTGCCAGTTGACAAATTTATGTTGCTGAGTCTGAAAAACAGGCCATCAAGACAATGAAATAAAGACTTCATTACAGGACTTCAGAAAAGGTTTATGTACCTGAATTGCTATTTTGGAGCGAACTGCAGATGTTAGCTGATGAATAATCTGGGCATTCAGGCTCCCAGTATTATCCATATCTCCAACCATCACCGGAAAAGACTGTATAAAACAATGTTATGGCTATAATAAAGTATACGTGCCTTTTTATTGTGTTAATAAACAACATGTTAAAATGTGCCTGGTGACTGTTACCTCTGTTGGGCTGGTTTGTTTCCTTCCTACATAGGTAGCACCAAATCGATAACCAGAATCCGCCACAGTACTGAGTGTTATGGTATGGCTAACTTGGAAGTGGTTACTCAAGCCTTTGTTAACCACCAACCGCACTCCCTCCATTTGTAAGGGAAATACCTCTGCAATAGAAAGATACAAATAAAAAGTGTGATTCACAAGCACATCACATCATCAGCTACTGAGGTTTATTGTGGATTCACAAATAATTAATTAATAAAGTAATTTGCTGGAAAGAAAAACTTTTAAATATAGCAGTTAACCAGTTCATTAACATTATAACATGTTAATTCAAACAACAAGAACAATAATAGCTTAAAGACCCTAAATTACACTGTTTTCAGATTTCTGCTTTCTATAATGTTTTCTCATCAGAAGTATACCTGAAGTTGTGTATGTATGTATGTGTGTGTATATATATATATATATATATATATATATATATATATACACATATATATACTTCTAACCTTTGCATTTGCGATGACACTCTTCATAGGTGCCTGGGTTTGGGAGAGGACTGTCTCCCTCTGCAGACTGTTCAGAAGTCGAAGATGTGGGCACAGAGGGCATGGTGAAACCTGGAGGCACAGACATCAACCCAGGCCCAACTGTGCCCCCTCCAGGTGCAGCTGGAGCAGGGCTAGGAGAGCTAGCAGCCAGCACACTTCCCATTCTTGGAGACTTTCACAGACAGAAGAAAATATTGTTCATTTGTGACATCTGAACATTTAACAAGACAAGAAAATCAAACAATCCACATAACGTTGGGCAACACGTATGCACAGGATGTTGTAAAGCTGGTGAATGGACGAGTATGCTTCAAGACCCAATTAGAATGCAGTGCTCTAATTTTTCACAAGGATGACATGAAATGCCCTTTTAAGCTAGCTGTGCCGGTTGGTAAAGCTGCTAATCATGTGTCGCTAGCTAGAAGCTAAGTAGCCATGTGCACACTGCAAGATAACAAATCATTCGGTCAGTGAAAACTAGACAATAGACACTGCTCACATTACGGGTAAATCACCGTACCTATCTTTATATTATGATTTAATAACGAATATATGGGCTTACTACTTATATCGAAGGTCCGAGACAGCAAAGTTCAAGGAAACATCCGTGATCGTAACCAACAAGTCCCACCCACTCCCCACCTCCTCGCAGCCGATTGGCTCACATTTTTAGCCAGCGTGCTCCTGTGACGTTCAGCATTGGTCAGAAGCTGTTAATCCACAGACGCATTCACTGTGAATGGCGTACCAAGGCTAATGCACCTGATATATTAGGAGCAGGTTATCGTGGCCCTATCCATTCCGCAAGTTTGACTCAGCTTTGCTGTTTAGTTGTAGTGTCCATATTGCGCTTATTGTTATGTTATAATGTTGTTTAATGTCCTGTTGTGTTTCAATCACACGTGCTTAACACACAAACCTTGCATATTTAGGCTGACTTCTTCTGTGAACTTCAAAACATGTCATATGGTCAGCCTAAGACAGAAATTCGTACTCCAAACACCTTCACTAAAATAATTTGAATAATTTCAAATGATAAAATGACCAATCTCTTCTGAACAAAAGGTAAAAGATTGAATTGAAAACTACTGACAAGACATCACAAGATCTTTTGAGATGTAGAATGATGCAGGATTACTCAAACGTGTATGAATTGATAATAATAACCAATCCCATCACAGTAACTACATTTTATTAAAACATTATCATTAATACATTCCAGACTGATAACATTATTAGCCAGATAACAAAGAGTGCAACATTTTGCATTCAGGTTTCAATAATAATGCCTTACGCTTGTGTTGCACTTTACATGCTTGAAAAGTCTGTCAAAGCGCCATGCTGTAGTCATTATTCATTCACTCTCCAGCTGGTGGTGCACTTCTAGAGCCACAGCTGCCCTGGGACAGATTGAGAGAACCACCAACCACCACTAACAGCACATTATGCATACCACATTCGTATGTTGACAGGGACAAAGTGCCCAAAAGCACAACTGCATGCACTGGTCCCCACTGGGTTTGAACCTTCAAATTGCTAACCACTGCCACTGCGCAATTATACAGTCCAACACACAGAAAAAAGATCTTCAAAACCAATTTAGCTGTTTAGGCTATTCTGGGAAATGAATGCATAAAAATACATAGACCTACAGTGTGTCAGTCGGTCTTGAGTCAAAAGATTGGCCATTTAAAAATGCCGTACATTGCTGTCTTTATACTTTTCAAGCACTGAGCAATGTCTGAGTGTCCACAACAGTAACCGTGAAAGGCACACTGCCAAAGCTTCAGTTTAGTCCATTTTGAAAGCATTCGTCCTTCACAGTCCTGACAGGAGGATAAATGTGGCCAGGTGAATGTGCAGAGGTAGTTAGAGGTTGGCTTGAAAAGTGAGTTCCAGTTTTTGGTGACACTGAGTGTGTTCGATGAGGCGTACAGAGAAGAGAAGATGGTGAACATCCACGACTCTGTTTTGGAGAAGGAGGACCTGCAGTACAGGGGCAGGACAGTAAATTAATTGTGTTAACAAATTGTTTCAAGCATCATATTTATAATATATAGTCTACTTACCACTGTCTTCCAATATGTTCCAGTGTGAAGGTGAGGTGCTTATGTAGTGCTGATCTTGAACTCGCATTTGTTTGGAGCTTCTTCCACGTATTACATCAGCAATCTGTTTAAAAGAAGAAAAAAAAAGGAACATCAGTTATTATTTAAAATTTGAGTCCATGGAAGTTATGCATAGTAATAAGGAGCCAACAACTTCTCACATTTTAGACACAAAAAATTGTGTCGCTTTATTAACTGCACTCACAACTGTCAAGAAATGGCTAAATAACGGTAAACAGAACAGCGTGCCTCAAACGTCAACGGGTCTTAAAGGGACTGCGACTATACTGCATATAGAGCACAAACCCAAAAACTAAACACTGAACATAGGTAAACATGTAATTAATATGTCTCCAGTTAGTGGTGAATTATGTATGTAATATGTATGCTAAAGGCACTACAGTTCCTTTTTTACATAAACCTGTGGTGTGAAACACCCCAATATATAGTCTATTATTTTTTAAGATTTATATTTCATTTGAGTGACACTGATGCCGCACTTCACAAGATAAGCCTCTGGGTGGAGGAATCTACTTGCTTACAATTTAGAGTCCTAGTCTAAAGATTAATAGAGATAACCAATAATTGTAAAATACTGTTTTGCAGTATGTTGCAATGCATTAAATCTGAAGGTCACCTTTTTATTGGTGGTCACCATCACAGGGGTGTCATTGTGATAGTTTTTTAGTCCACTGTCAGCTCCGTTTTTAAGCAGCAGCCTCACTGTGTCCACCTGCCCACGGCCACAGGCACAATGTAAGGCAGTGTTCCTGCTGTACGACTGGCTGTTGACATCACATCCACTCTGTAAACACATAACACAGTGAATCAAATCTATGTGAGAATGCACGAGAAACAAATGAAGAAAACTAAAGATACATACTCCTGAAAAGACAGTTGGTCTACCCATTATTACTATTATTATTACAAGTTAATTAGATTTCAATTTTAGCTTCCAATTAGTAATTTAGTAGATCACTCTGCAGTACAAGGAGTCTTAACTCCAGCCACAAGAGGTCAGTATAGGAACAGATAATGTGTTTAGGATTTTTTTTTTTACTGGCCGGTGGACTGTTACCTAACCTCAGGTTCAAATTCAAAATTTAACTGTGATAGATCAACAAAAAATGAGAAACTAATCACATATCTAATGCTCTTTCAAGTAAGATTAATGTGAAATTATGTCTTTAATAACCTTGAATTTAAATGTAAACAGTAAACCAAGTGTAAATTACCTCAATAAGGAAGTGAACCATGTTCACATTATTGCTCTCTACTGCATGCATCAGGGGGCTCTGGCCACTTTTATTATCCTAATATAAAGAAAACACAAACATGTCAATAGTCAGTTTAATGTAAAGAATATAAAAACATGTTATGGTCATAGTCATTTCACCATAGCATTAATATCAGCTCCAGCATTTAACAGCATTCTAGCCAAATTCTCATGACCATGCAGCACTGCCAGGTGAAGAGGGCTCAGACCTAAAGGGAGGATGTCAGAAATTTGTAGTTAAAAACTATTCACCTAGCACAGTTTTACACTTAGTCAAGTTGTTTTGTGTATGCTATTATCTCAATCTACAATGTACTGTGATAAAGGAAGCAGTACAATAGTGATTAGAGCTAAAGTTTCTTATCAGAAATGAGTTAGTTGTAATACTTTATACATTTAATTGGTCAAGGGTGCTTTAAGAAGTCCATCAATTTTTTTAAGTAAATAGTTTTAGTAGAGATTTTGGAGTGACTGGACAGTTGTATTTGTATTTGAACTGTGAACTTTTATAGTTATTATAATGGAATATTTTATTGTAAATTAAATGTTAACTTGGACCCACAGGAAATGGGGTCATGGGGAGTAAATAAATAAATAAATAAACTAAGTTTGTGTCACCCCGCAAAGACTACAGCCGTAACAATTGCCCTGTGTCCTGATTCATCAATGACAGAGTACACTGAGAGAAGACCACAGAGGAAGGAAATGTCCTCCACTCGCCCACACAAAACAACCGCTCAGTACCAAACCTGAGCACTTCTCATCTCTGTCACTGCTGTGTAATGTGAATACTATCAAAGAAAAAAAGTGATGGTACAAGGTAAATTCAAAACTTATGGAGCTCTACCTTCATAGTTTCGCATCTCCAGACAGGTGGAGAACGAGTGGTGGGACAGGAGCAGAGATAGACATTCTCGCTGGTTGTATTCGCAGCACAGGTGGAGCGCAGTCTGGCCATTCCTGTCCAAAGATGTTGGATCTGATCCTGCTTTGAGTAGAGCATCGACCATGTTGGGCTGCTGCGTGATGACTGCAAGATGAAGAGGTGTCTAAAAAGGAACAATAAAGGAAAAAAAAAAAAAAAACATTTAACTTTAACATATACTACCAGATGCAAAAAAGTGCCTAAGTGTGAAGGTGACCCTAACCCTAAACAAAGGTTTATTAAGATGAATTCAGTAGTTATTTATATCCTAACCCAAACTCCTAACCCTAACCTAAGTAGTTACTAAGCCTAAATTGTTCTTACTATAAACTATTTATTTATTTATTTGAATTTAAGTCTTTGTCCATGCTTTATTAAGGCTAATTAAGGTGTAGTTCTTATGAAGTTGTACCACATATTCTACTGTACCCATAGATGAAATATGTCTACTATATTTGACCCATTTGTCTTCAATGCTACTGAGGCAAAATGCTAGAAAAGTGCGTTACGGGTGCTATACATCTGTTTTCAAGTCAAGCAATCCAAGCATTTCAATTGCAGACAGAGCATAAGATCTCTAAGTTTATTTGATATGAAACCTGTTTACTTCTCTCCCCTCACCTGACCTTTGGTCAGGGTCAGGTCTCTGGTCTTCTTCTGTTAGGTTAAAGATGGCACACTATCAGACAGGAGTAATGTAAATAGCATCTAGTGGTGATATATGAGAATACAACAGCTACAAAGCTACAAATGTTAGCTTTTAAAGTCTACATATTATTATGTTTTTGATAAAAAAAAATTCAGATAATACCAATATCTGTTGTGGGCAATACTTGCTGATGTTGGATTTAGTATTTTGATATCTGTTGATATCTTTTTTTTTTTTACCTAAAATTAAGGAAATTAATTATTTTGAAAAGCATACCAAAAAATCTTTCTTTTTTGCCAACAATATTTGTATTGTTTTTGTTATAATAAAACAGTTTTAACATTAAAGAAGAATATGTGGACATACGTTCACATTTTGTGAATGTCATATATGTTTACATGTTTATATTTATATTCTACCTTAAAAGGAATATAGTGGAGAACCAGTATAACAGAAGGTCAAAAAATCGTCCGTGCGTGCGTGTGTGTGTGGGTGCGTGTGTGTGCGTGTGCATACAATGGTATATATTCTGTGAATATAATGGCCTATCATCATCCACAAATCTTATCACAAGAACTTAAAGTGCACTCCAAACAGTCCTTGAAACCTTTGCACTGTCAATCTCTCTGCAAACACAAACTAGAGCTATCCAGCTCCTTTAATTAAATATGGTTGATTTAAATTGAGGTCAAAATGGTCCCCAGCATTCTGAGGCTACAGGAAATAAAGGAAAGACAAAAATTACACACATCAGTTTATTTAGTCATTTGAACTGAGCACTGTGGCAATCAAGGATGTTCCTATGGGTGACTCAGCAAGTATCACAAAGCACAACATATGTCAACAGAGGATGGGCAAGTCACAGAGAACAACTTGGAATTTTTAGCAATGCTATTATCAGGAATAGTTCATCCGGGTTTCACTTTTGCTTTATGCCTTTTGTTTGCTTCTAAGGTGGTTCCAGTAAAGGATAATGAGAGATAAGCGCAATGAGAGCAAAGTGGAATTCCTTCTATGTGCCAATGTTAGTGTTTTCCCCCCAAGCTATAGTTTCCCAGAATCCTATGACTCACACCCAATAGCAGATATAAAAATACATAACCAAATAAAGACAAGCATACACAATCTGGTAAGCAATGTACTTTGAACTTCCTATTGCAGCATTTACGGACACTTATATCTTGTGCATGACTAATGAAGAAACACTGTGAAATATCTCTTGTTATGTTCAATTCTGTTTACTGCTTCCTGTAAAAATGACGAAGCAAAAATACAATCATTGATGAAGATGGGAATGGAGAAGGGGGATGGTTGAGGACTGTTGCAATGAAGATATGTCGGAAGTGGCAGAGGGGAGCCCGGGGAAAAGACAGGATGAAAGGGGAAATCCCAACGCTTCCCCCTCCGTCTGTCCCTGCTCTGTTTTACATTCCTGGATCCACATGACGAAGGGAGAGCACACCACAAGAGCTGGACCACGAACAATCGCTCTGAGTTAAAGTTTAAACCTCACTTAAAGAAGTATGCAAAGAGAGTGTATGGAATCATGTCTACAGCATAAATCAACAAAGAAAAGATATTAAATGGATTATGATGGTTAAAGAGATAGCTTGCTTATGGATTTCTAATAAAATGCACTGGCTATATTCTGGCTTTAATTTATACAGATGAATTTGTTACAGGCCATAAAATAAATGTACCAGCATCTGGATACTACTGCACATAACGTAGTCACTTATGGAGTTCAACCTTTGACCACCCACTCTGGTTACGGAAGTACATTTTTAGATAGATTTTTAAAAAATTATTCAAACATTAAGCATTCATCATCATCATGGAGGGTAATCAGCTATATGCTAACTAATATTCATAATGCAGTTGTTTAAGTCTAAAAAGCACAGTCAAAATGCAAGATTCAGTGAAATGCTTAAATAACTTAGCGGTTTATAAAGTTTCAGAAACAGATTTTAAATACAATTACCGGGGGTGGGCAATCACTATTGAGCATTCCACTGTATTACACTAAATTACATTTAATATAATTCTTGTATTATTAGTATTTTGGACACTTTTTATTCTACTACTCTTTTGGTGCTTATGTGTTGCAACACTGAAATTTCCCTATTGTGGTACAAATAAATGTTCTCTTATCTTTATCTCATTATTAACATCAGCTATGCTCTGAAACCCCAAATCTCCTCGCATACATACACACTGAAAGGAGATGTGAAAAGAACACACAAGACTACACATCAGCAGCACAAAGGGAAAGTCCCAGTGAACTACCCTCTGAACCTCAGCGTTAGGTATGTTGAGAAACAGAACAGGGAGGGGCGGGGCCATGTGACTTCTCGGCAGAGCCATACACAAGCGTTCACATACACGACCTGCTGGAGAGTGCATGTAAACACCAAAACAGGTTATGTCACTGGGGTTTTGCACAAAAGGTGTTCATATGTGCTACTTACATAATTCATTCATAATACCAAAATTTAAGATAACAATGAAAAACTCCAACAAAGGCGCACTATGTAACATTTCCAGTGGAGGGTCAGCCCCTTGCTAAAGGTATTGCTTTGCCTGGAATGTTCCACAGTATGGCATTAAACATATTTATCTTCACAGAGACAAGCAGGTGACACCATAGTTAGAGTAGTAGATTAGATCTGTGGAGTGCAATACATGTTTTTCAAAGCATGTTTGATTAAAACACCTTAAATTAATAAGTGCAAAAATATTTTAGTTCAATGTCAGACTGCGGAACTTCCTATGCAAAACAATAATATCTCCATCTAAAATGTTACATTATGCAAGCATGAAACAAAAAAGAAACTAAATCACTAATTAAAGGGAAAGAGTGTGGGATTTTAGCAGTTCCCTTTTAGACATGTACTGTCTGCAGCTTTCTAAATTCATAGTATATTTTGGTTCTTTTGACTGGTGGCTGCTTTCATGGTGACTTTAAAGGTGCACTTTTTGGTTAGGGTCCGTCACTTGCTTGTTTCTATGGATATGTCAGTGCTCTGCCTGGAAGTATGACATTAAACAGCTCTTCCTTACATTTATTCAAGGTGGTTTTATAGGTCAAAAAATACAAGAAAAACAGGCATTGTGACTGTGAGGGGGTTGCCTCTCTACACATCTGGTCTGTAACTTGGTCTGGTTTCGTCTCCATGCAGATAGAAAGGTTTAATGCAATACTGTAAAACATACCAGGCAAAGGACTAATATCTTCATGGAGAAAAGCATTTGAAGGACCCTCCACCAGAAATACTACATAATGCACCTTTACTTTCACCATGTTTCAAATAAATTCATTCAGTTAGAGGAGTAGTTCATTTTAGATAGTGACTTGTGCACATTAGTGGTATCTGATCTGAACACACATGGTCACCAGTGCATACTTTGAGTGGGCAGCCCCATTCCCCAATCACTGCTTTATTCCTGCAGACAGCACACCATGCAGCGGGTATGTGCGCTCAGGGCATGACCAGTGTGGGAGTATCAAACAGCTGTCTGTATTGTCAAACTCAAACGCACTTACACTATTATTCACTTCTGGTAGTAACACTCGCTCATACAGTCCTTTTTGAAAAACCACAGAAACTCAGGAGCTGACATCATTATTGGAAAACAGCAACAATATCTCTGGGGAGTTGACAGGCTTATATTCGCTGCTGTCCAGTAAGAATTGAAAACCCACAGTTCCTTATAGTTTGTCATGACGCCTGATGTTCATTCAAAATCCCACAATCTGGTAGGCAAATGACTATAATTGAAGAAGTCTGGCTGAAAATCTCCCCTTTTGGTCTAAGTGCACACAGCAAGTACGTGTGAAAAGCTGGTGGTTTGTCGCGTGCATGTGTTTTTATAACATAGAGGGCAAAGACAGGATACAATAACCAATGCACTAAAGCCTCAGCAATGAGGAAATACAACATTTGATGATAGCGGCAGCATTATTTCTGGTAAGCCTGTGTGGTGTGAAACCCCAGTCTTGTGAAGTAAAGCTCAGCACAGCTCAGGTGCTTTCTGTTCAAAGATAAAAGGGATGTATTGTAGCTGGCAGATAGGTGAGAATGTTTGTACTGCACATCTGAACGGGAAAGGACTATTTATGTCTCGATAGTCTTGTCACACACACACACAAAAAAAATTTGGTTTTCGTTGTAAAGGTGTGCGATGTAACTTTTCTGCAGGGAGCTCTGACACCTGCTTTATCCATGGAGACTCGTCAAAATGTCAAGAATGATCCACTGCAGGTGATGCCACCAGGCCAAATTACAGGTTAGACCTGGCAAGCAGGTACACAGTATGGATGTATGTTTTTTCCAGTCTTTTTTTTTTTTTTAATAGTAGTTCAAATACAGATATTAACTGAATGCATGTGAAATAAATATGTTTAATTCCATACTTTGGAACATTCAAGGCCACATAATGCCACTGAAATTATTCAAGACTATTCACAGAATGAATACCTGGATGAATAGGTCTCTAGTTTGAATTAGTAACTGATTATTGATATTTTACACCAGCACCAAGAGAATTTGAAAACAGTTGCTTCAGTTTATCTTTATGTGTGAGAGACATAATTATTAGGTCAACTGAAAGAAGAATTAGTCATGTAATGGCTGCGGTCATTGTCATCCTAATTTTGTCTTGTCATTTCATCGTATTCATTCAGAATTTCACAACTCTTCCTGCTTACTCAGAGTAGAAAATCCAGTTCTGTTAAGAAACCCAGTCGGCCTTAATGCAATAGAGATAATAAAAGGAACAATGGAAAGCACATATGGTAATTCTGTTGGCTTGAGGCTCATACAGGTAGAACTGCTATAGTTAGTGGGTGAACTCCATTGCTCTCTCTGACTGTAAGTAATTTTAAAAAGGGAGGAGGAAACCAAGACACTTTCTCTTTCATTCTTTTCCATGTCACTGTTATCAGAAGGGAGAGGCAGTGGGACTGTTGTGTTTTTTAATTCTTTAGTTGATGTTTGATTTAAAGGTCCCCTATTATGCAATTTTGTGATCTATAATGTTTATGCAAAATTTACTTTTCATTAAGCCACATTATGATGTTGTATATGAGCATTGTAAACTTTCAAGATGTAGACAGACTAATAATAAACATTACTCAAACATGTGTGATTGAAACAAAACACAACTCCAGGTATGTTTCTGATGATGTAACAACATTATAACATGGCTTAAAGGAAGTAAATGTTAAGTAATGCAGAACCTTAACTGGGAATTTATGTCAAAGACTTATAAAGAGGAAATAGATGAAGAGGTGGCTGGGTGTGGGTGCTTGTTTGTCTTACCTGGCGGAGATTATTGTAAATATCAGGACTTCTGTTTTCCAACCAGTAGATTTTAAGCAGGTCACAGACAACATCCATCTTGCCTTGAACCACAGCAATGTGAAGAGGACTGGAATATAGAAAAGCAGACACATAGACATGATGATTTTGCAAGCTATGTTTTGTCATTTAAAAGTAATTAAACATCCCTGCAATTATTAGGTGTCCAATCAAATAGAGGTAAATAGCCAATGCAAAGACATGTTCCACCCAGCGCTGTGTCCTGAGTCCCCTGCTGTGGTCAGAGTGTGGTCAGAGTGGAGGAGAAGATCACTGGATGTGACTTCACACCCATCGTTAGCCCCAGACTCTGGAACAAATTGTCTCCTGATGTGCACACCATCACAGACTCTGGATTGAAATCCAGGCTCAAAATGTACTTATTCAGACGCAGTAATACAATGATGCTTTGTTTTATTTATTTGTGAAATGTTCTGTATATTTTTATATTGTGTTGATTTTAACGTATAGCACTTTATTGTTGTAAAGGGCTCTATAAATTAGGTTTAACTGATTGATTGTTCAGGAGCACTGCACGGAATGGGCCTCCAGGATCATGGAAGACCCCTCCCATGCCACCCACCACTTGTTTGTCCCTCTGTCCTCTGGAGAAAACTGGGGAGCATCAAAGCCACAAAATCAAATCACTTCAACATCTGGGCTGAAGTCAAGTTTCTTTGCTGAGGCAGCCTGTCAGACTTTTGAATAGTGCACTCTGACTTCCTACTTAGGCTGCCAATCTTGCTATATGTTTTATTGGTTGGCTTTTTATTTAATATTCATTATTTATTATTGTTCTTATCTCTTTAATCAGACCTTGAAGAACAACTTTAGTTCTGTCACATGTTTCATTCACATTTTTGAATGACAGATAAAGAACCTTGAACTTTGAACCCTGTAAATCTTAAAATGAATTCCCCAGTCAAATTTTTGTCTGTTTTACTGTAGTTTCTGTGACCAAGCATTTTCCCCTGTGAAAGTATGTTAAAGTGACAGCAAATATCCATATATCTGTGACAAATAAGTGTGTGCCTGTTCAATAGACTGATAAGTATAAAACAGTAGTGCTAAAACAAACACAAAATTAGGTTAACTGAGCGTGACATGTTTTATTTCCACAGCTAGATCTATACATTGCTCTGCCAAGAAGTATAATAAAGAAAATAACACAGATTTTTATACTACACTACACCTGTATTTGTCAACGAAACACAGTCCTATGCTGGAGCTTAAAGGCCAAACTCCTAAAAAGTGAACTAAATGTGTATATTTCTCTGTAGGAAGAAGCTGTAGCTATTGACCTTGCCCAGCAGAATTTCGGTGACATTTGTAAGTTCATTAACTCCTGCTCCTCCTGCTGCTTCTGGGGACGATGGAAGCGAAAAACAAACATGCTGATAGATATACTTCAGCATATTTGAGCAAAAATACAAGATATAAGAGCTGTGATTATAATACATAGCTGGAAGTGTGGCACAACTGTGGAAGCAATCATTTGCACTAAGAACCTTGAAAGATGCAAAGCCATGACAAAACCCCCATACTTATCAGATTGTTATCAGCCTGAAGAGGAAACCACTATCGGAGGCCATTACATGAAGTGAGAGAGTGAACCCGGCCTGAAGAGGGCAGGAAACAGTGACAGGGGCAAGTCAGAGGCAGCAGTAAGACAGCTTCTTCATGCTGTCAGATGGAGCCTCTTCCAGTAAGAGCCAGGCAGCTTCTATGTTACTTCCTGTTGTCACTAACAATGGCCATTTTATTATCCTTTATATTGTTTCATTAGTGACTTGTGTTCAATATGTCACTTCCAGTCAATGTTAAAACAACAGAAAACATCTAAACATGCATTATGATAATACAGGGTGATAAATGCACCATTTATATACTATATAAACTGACTCCTGAGAGTAGTATATATATATATATATATATATATATATATATATATATATATATATATATATATATATATACTACTCTCAGGAGTCAGTTTATCATGCATGTTTCTGAATTATGGGTGGAATACTTTCAAAGTAACATCTAGAATTGGCCACTATCATACAAGACCATTTCACTTCGTAATTTACATAATTCTTAAAAATACAGCAGATGTGCATAGTGCAGGTGCAAATTACACATGCATAACAACACCTGTGCACGTGTATGGATTACTGTAAGTGGGCTTCCTTCATTTTTAAAAAAGATTGTTGCATCAGCATTGTAAATTATAATAGTCAAATTCAGATGAGAAGAATCATTGATTTCCCTGGTTCTCTTCAGTATCCATCTCCTTCCTTTTCTGCTCAGATGAAACTGTACAGTTTCTGGTTCCTGGAAGTGTGGCAGACCACAGCCCCAGATAACCTCAGGCCCAGCGGCACTGACGCACACAGAACTCACTATACACACACAACTAACACACAAAGACAGGCAACACAAAGACACTACACACAGGGGGGGTGAGAGACACTACAAACAGAATTAACACAGAGAGGGCAGCACAGCAGTCCCAGGGTGAAAGATACTGCACACAGAACTGAGAGACACTACACACAGGGTTAGAGACATACACACAGGGAGAGTGAGATACATAAACACAGGGAGAGTGAGAGACATACACACAGGGATGGTGAGAGACATACACACAGGGAGAGTGAGAGACATACACACAGGGAGAGTGAGAGACATACACACAGGGAGAGTGAGAGACATACACACAGGGAGAGTGAGAGACATACACACAGGGAGAGTGAGAGACATACACACAGGGAGAGTGAGAGACATACACACAGGGAGAGTGAGAGACATACACACAGGAGAGTGAGAGACATACACACACAGGGAGTGAGAGACATACACACAGGGAGAGTGAGAGACATACACACAGGGAGAGTGAGAGACATACACACAGGGAGAGTGAGAGACATACACACAGGGAGAGTGAGAGACATACACACAGGGAGAGTGAGAGACATACACACAGGGAGAGTGAGAGACATACACACAGGGATGGTGAGAGACATACACACAGGGAGAGTGAGAGACATACACACAGGGAGAGTGAGAGACATACACACAGGAGAGTGAGAGACATACACACAGGGATGGTGAGAGACATACACACAGGGAGAGTGAGAGACATACACACAGGGAGAGTGAGAGACATACACACAGGGAGAGTGAGAGACATACACACAGGGAGAGTGAGAGACAGAGAGACATACACACAGGGAGATGAGAGACATACACACAGGAGAGTGAGAGACATACACACAGGGAGAGTGAGAGACATACACACAGGAAGAGTGAGAGACATACACACAGGGAGAGAGACACACACAGGAGATGACACATACACACAGGAGAGTGAGAGACATACACACAGGGAGAGTGAGAGACATACACACAGGGAGAGTGAGAGACATACACACAGGGAGAGTGAGAGACATACACACAGGGATGGTGAGAGACATACACACAGGGAGAGTGAGAGACATACACACAGGGAGAGTGAGAGACATACACACAGGGAGAGTGAGAGACATACACACAGGGAGAGTGAGAGACATACACACAGGGAGAGTGAGAGACATACACACAGGGAGAGTGAGAGACATACACACAGGGATGGTGAGAGACATACACACAGGGAGAGTGAGAGACATACACACAGGGAGAGTGAGAGACATACACACAGGGATGGTGAGAGACATACACACAGGGAGAGTGAGAGACATACACACAGGGATGGTGAGAGACATACACACAGGGATGGTGAGAGACATACACACAGGGGAGACATACACACAGGGATGGTGAGAGACATACACACAGGGATGGTGAGAGACATACACACAGGAAGAGTGACAGGGATACACACACACAGGGAGGGTGATACACTGCAGGACTGTGCAATTAATGGAGAGATCAAGAGCTTGTGAAGCAGTCATGTTTATTAATCATCAAGGATATAAGACTGGCTGTTATTGGGTTAAATGGCAATGGTTACGCCCTACTACACTGTAGAGGCAGTTTACTGCTCAGTGCCCTGGTTATGGGGCAGAGTGGAGCAGCTGAGGACCTCTGAGGTCAAGGGTCTGAACCACTAACCTCAAAGAAACAATTATATTCTGTCAGCAAACAAGAAACTCCTCTGTCAGACTGAATTCTCATGGCAAAAGATTGGCAAATTATTTTTTGCCATCCAAAGTCACTATACAATCTATTGAATGAAAACTATTCATTTCTCAAACAAGATCTACACCTGCCCTGTGGAGACTGATGGAAGTGTGACTGCCACATTGTCCCACTAATCCCACCATGTCAGGTGTCTATACCAGGGAGTCTGGTTCTTAACACTGAACAGGGCTAAGCAGGTTCAGCAGCAGCACATGTTTATACTACAGTTAGACTGTTCAGTTGCTGTGACTGGGTTGTGGTGGAGTTTAAGGAGCATTTCCACCCTACAATGTAAAGCTTTATAAATGAGTACATGATTTGGCTGAGAAAATTCTACAGAAATTCAAATTTTACACGGACATTTTACACACACTATTGTTTAGTGTGAACAGCCAATGAGAGACTGACAAAGTTGATAGAGAGAAAGCGGTAAATGAGGAAGTATGAAGCGGATGTTTGGTTTTTTTGAGCCCATTCATTTAAACAACACACAAGTTAAAAGAGAGACACAGACACCTGAGAAAAACCACAGAGCTATCTCAAAGTCAGCCCAGCCTGGCTTTCCCGAAACGAAAGGACTTGAAGCAGTGCTGAGCACAGGCTTTGACGTAAGACAGAAGCACACGCTCACCTCACATAACTCACTAGTTCACACAACAAGTGCAGGGGCTCATGCTGCAAAAAAACTCACACACACTTCAAAAGAACCAGGGACACACAGGCCCTGTGCAAACGTTAAACACCATAGGCCACTATGATTGGAAGCCATTCACAATGGTGAGAAAAGTTTTGAAAGAACAGTTTTCATATTCTATAGAAGGCAACATCTAATATATCAAAACTTCACTGGGGTTATAAACGAGAAAGGTGAGAAATGATCAGCACGATGCTGTATCATCATGCTATGCTCCAAAGAAAAGCTTTCCCAACACTGAAACATATTCATTACATTTAGAGCTTGATCTTTTTTTTTCTTTTTCATGGCCGATGCTCTGCCTATTTCATAGCCAGAGCCACTAAGAGCCTTAGTGATTTTGTAAAGCGACATTGTAAACACTGATCATTTTTACCAAAGTACATGATGTTGCATTTATGTTACTGTTTATACAGCACATTGCGCTAAATTATTTGCATCTATATATATAAAAGCTTTACAGCAATCATTTTTAGACTTCTATGTCCTTATAAGAGCCAAACCTATAAGAGAGCAGTGTAGTAACCTTTTGTACAACACCTAAAAGATTTACTTTTGTCTGGTGCTCTGCCCAGACTAAAACTATTTTAAAGCTGATGTGCGATTTATGCAAAATGTTGCAAATGATAAAATGGTAAACCAGTCACCAGCTACAGTTGATGACACCTAACCCAAGTTTTCTGCTTCAGCCAAAAAAGTGGACTTACAACTGAAAGGGCATCTGGCATAAAATTACAATCCATTGTGTTTATTCAGTGTGTAATTAATTTATAACCATATAATGCATCATAAGACTAAATGATTTGTGAAAAATATCTTATTGCAACTTTGCAATTAGACTTGCAATTTATGTTTCAATATTACAATTCTGTTCAAAATTCACATTTTAAATGTGTCCAAAAGAATTGAAAAAGACTGAAATATGAGGGTATGGTATGATACTGACAAACAATTTACTTTGTGTACAGATCTATTATAAAATACAAGGTTAAAACTAGAAGCTACAAATTACAAACTACAAGGTTAGCTTTTTTATGCAGAATTAAACTATTCTATTCTATTTGAGAAGGAAATGACAGTATTTCAAAAACTGCAGCCTTTATGATTAGCTCATTGATTTTGATTTGATTGTGATTCATCTTGCAGCTCATAATGGACAAAAACAAAATTGAGCACAATCTCAGTACTTTTCTTATTGATTACTAATGCCTGTCCATTATGAATCCTCATTTCATGTTTTTGTGAGTTTTTTTTTTTTTTGCACTGGTAGATCAACAAGGGAAGCTCTTAGAATAGTCTGAAATAACCACTAAACAAATGAGTCTTGTGTTTAAGTGCAATTCTAGTAGATGATTTGATTATATCAGCTGAGGGTACATGGCTCACATGGTTTACTAGACAGACACAGAACAATAAGCAGCGTTTACATGTCATGGGATTACTCAACTCTGGGTATCACGAGTTGGTTTAAAACAAATGCAAATAATACACTGCACATCAAAGTGGGACTGCCTGGGCATTTCAAGATTTCATGAGGCCTGATGTTTCAATTTTGTTGAAGTTTTTGGACAAAGCGGTTTCTAAAACTGCAAAATGCTTTTGTTTGTCTATAGACTTTCACTAGACAGCAGGCATGAGGTGTCTAATCTAAGCATGTAAATCCAAAAAATGAATCAAAAGAAAATATTTAAAGCATTAGAGGTGCATTGTCCCCATAGAGACAACTTTTCTGGTCTCCATGGAGATGTTATTGTTTGCTTGGAATGTTCCATAGCATGACATCTTTCTAGCATTTATTCATTATGGGTGTATAGCTAAAAATACAATAATTCCCTTGGTGAAAAGGGTTGCATCTCCAAAGATCTGACCCGTAATGTAGCCCATAGTTGTCTTCTTTGAGATAGAAAAGTTTAATCTCTACTGTGCAATATTCTAGACCAGGGGTCTCCAACCTGTAGCTTGGGAGCTACAAGTAGCTCTCTAACCACTTCCAAGTAGCTCGCCAAGAGATTTTGGAATTATACCATTGTGCAGAATTTGAAAAATTTGGTTAATTACATGCCTATTACTATTGTAAATGTATCATTTTGAAGCCCAACGTTGTGCACTAATAAATGGACATTGGTTTATGTTTTATAGGCATCTAACTGTACCCAAAGGCATCTAAATTCCTTGTGGTCATTAAAATGAGTAGCCCTCTGGTATTTTTCTTTTGTAAAGGTAGCTCACCAGAGGAAAAATGTTGGTCCCTGTTTTAGACAAAGCAATAACATTTCCATGAAGACAAGCAGGTGAGGGGCCCTCCACCAAAAAAAGCTGCACAATGCATCTTTAAGACAAATAAATCATAATTGTATGGAACATTTGGTTATTGTTTTTTGCATTAAGTAAAATAGCATAAGAATATTTAATGCTGAAGCAGGTGAGTCAGAAGCTAATCAGCAGTGGTAACTGTGATAAAGTCAGTCACCCATGTCCCACTAGAGAGACCACATCCACGTTGTGTAATGACTGTTGTTTTCATATGAAGTTTGAAGGTCCTGTTTAGGTGATCACAGCTGTTCAGGTAAATCACAACTGTTCAGACCACTGCGCAGTGGCCACTTAACTTTCATTTTCATCTTTATCACATGGTCACAAGGTAATTTTTATTCTATCTATCGAAAACAACAACAAAGACAAAATCATGTAATATAAAGACTAAAGATTAGTCAACACTGTAGTTCAAGCTAAAGCAAGTATATATTCAGAAACAAGTACTCAGAAACAATGCATTTACATCTAGAAAGATTCAACTTGTGAATCATGAGTTTAAGCTTTATGCCAATAAATACCACAAAATACCAAATTTTCAGCTAACTCACTCACTAATTTCTCCTATCTGGTGTTCCATATAAAAGTATTAATATGTAGTCAACTAACAGTCGACTAAGACACCACTGACTAATTGATTAAATGACTGAAGGACTACAGCCCAAGTGACAAGCACTACAAATTCCCATTTTAACTAGGTTCGTAGATCTAAAAACAGATATTTGGTAAATTGGATGAAACGTGGCACTGCTCCTTTCACTCACTGAACAAGTTTGTGACCTTTATATACTTTGTAACTGAGATGTGATTTTAGTTGTTTAAAGGGACATGCACAAGCACAAGTGGCAACAGTGGCTTTGTGGTTAGAGCAGTGGTCCACCATCTTGAAGGTTGGAGGACTGATTCCTACTCGGACAAAATCCTGTCATTATGTCCTTAGGCAAGACACAGATTGCCTAGTATGAATGTGGTGGTTGGAAGGACTGAGGGCTCAGGGCAGCTGTGGCTACGTTAGTATCTTACCACAACTAAGTGCGGTGTGAATGAATAATGACTAGAATGTAACACTTTGTGAGGCTTTGACAAGCCTGTAAAAAAATTATAATCATGAAGCACCCTTGTGGTTACATGTTTTTAGGTTTATCATTTGCCCCATGGAGACAGCAGATGTGTAAAAGTCTGCCTGTTTCTCTTAACGTTGACTTACATACATTTAAACACTGCAGATAAGCTCAGTAGGCAATTTGGAAAAATGCCCTTTTTCTTGGATGAGTACCTGTGCCTGTACCTGTACCTAAGCTCTATGTAAGTCCCAGGAATGCCTTCTTCACTTTTCGCAATGTACACTGTTAAATGTTGATTTGTGTGCAATGTCCTCTTTCTTTTAAATAAAAAGTTGTTTAGAAAAAACAAAACCAACAGAAGAAACATTAAAAGCCCACATACGTGTCTCCATCTTCATCCTGCCGTGTGGCCAGAGTGATGGAGGACAGCAAATGGCCCGTGTGATGGGGGACAGGACCCACGGCCTCAGGGAAAGGGACAGGGACAGGAGACAGGCAGTAATATGGAACTGGACAACACAGAGGACACAAGGCAAAGATCACATCAATTAGATTATTTATTTTTATTTATTTTTTTGTCTTTAGATATGAATTTGTTGTGAACAACAATAAGAAAATAAGCAAAAGCTGACTTGTTCTCTAAATCATAAACACATCTCTTTGGCATCTTTGTGCCAAGGTGAGATTATCCTTATGTGTGCATTTAAAGAAAACACCTGTCTTTATAATTTTACTCTCATTTTACCATTTTCAAGATTAGAAGAGAAATATGCGGTGGATCCATAAACCACTATCACTTGTAGTTATAACCAAATAGGAGTTAAACTCTTTATGTGAACTGCAAATTTAGACATATTTCTGATCACAACTCATTTACACTTATAACCCAGGAGGAAGAGTTCCATCTCACCATAAGGGGTAAAAGGAGTCCAGACGTGTAAGGTGGGTGTAATGACCCCAGCTGCACCTGCAGCCCACTCGTTCTCCCGAGCTGCCCGCGGTGAACTGTTTCCGTTTTCACGTGTCTCCGGCTCCACAGGAATCTTGCGTTTTCTGAATGGAAGATTCTGTCGCGCGTTGTCTCGTTTGCACACTCCAGTGCTTTCTTTCTTCACTATGGGGACTTGTTTGTTCAAAGAGTCCGTTTCTGTGCACGCTGGAGGAGCAGGCGAGTCGCCTGTCACACGCGAGTCCGGACTAGTCGGTCCGCTGCTCCCACGCTCTCTGTGCGTTGTGCGTAAATCCAGAGGTGCTGCAGCGAGGGAATGCTGCTCACCGTTCATGGTCATAACCATCGGCATCAACTTAGTCTTAAAGATTACTGTAAAATATGACTGTCGGAGACTTAAGGATAAAACTGAATTTTAGACTACTGCTGATCTTGTGACTCAAGTCCCATTGTAGCTGTTGCTTCCTAAACCTTGCAGCTCAGTGCCACAAAGTCAAAGTTCATCTTGATGTTGGAAAAGCCAAAGACGCAGTTTTGTGTGGGCTGTTGCTCAGTGCGCACCTATGACACACTGCAGGTAAAGCACAGCTGCCAGCCCTCATAATAAAAATCTAATCACTCTCAGAGGCGCGTGCGGTGCTTTCCCTTTAAACCGAAAGCTACTTTGACTTGCAGCAGAAGTGTATTGCCCATCGCGCGGCGCTCTTCTCTTGACAAACCCAAAGGGATCTGAGGGTTTTTGTAGAGTTGTGACACAGGTCAACTAACACTGACTCACAGTGAAACACGGACTATTGATGTCAAATGCAAACGAAAATTTACGTAATATTCTTAGATGAAGGAATAAAAGTAGCCTACTGGAACCACATTCCCAACTAGTCACTAATTACGTCTAAATACAATTCAATTTTGGACGTTTCTTTAGCTAACAATGGATGTCAAATGCCATTTTAATCAAACAACGCTGTGCATAAAGAAGAGTTTTACAAGTCCGTGGAACATGTCATTTCATAGACCAAATAAATTCAACACAGCTTCCTTATCTGTCTAATTACATCTCACATTTCACTTTCCTTTCTTTCTTTTCTTGCCCAATAATCCGGTCACTTTGGTACTTTCCTCTCATCGCTTAAGGGATGGACAAGTAACTGACAATCATTTCGAGTCTGAAGTCCCTAAAACACCACAGGAGGCCGGCTCTGCACGAGCACGTTTTGCAGGTGCAGCTCAGATCCCTCTCATTTCACTGTCATCTGGTGTTCAATTACAAGTTTCAAACAAAGAAATATCTCTTTAATACAAAGTTCAGTAGAGTTCATAAAGAGCCTCTCAACCTGGCTGACTTGAAAGCCCGGGGGTCGTGTGATTTTATAAATGGTTTGGTGCCCCCTAGTGTTAAATCTAACGCGGTACGAGAGTGAAACCGTCACGCATAGAGATGCCAGCCCCCACGACAGGCAAATCAAAGTAAAGAAAGTTGGTAAGCGAAGAAAACGTGAACAGGCAAATTTAACTACAAAAGGAACTGAAACGCACTAGCATTTTGTTGTTTTGTTTTACGGCTGGACAAACCCTAACAAATTACACTACCAGGTAAATCTATGTTCGTGAGCAACACGTTTAGGATGCTTAATGCCATATGGCTTTTTTTTTTTTTTTTTTTTTTTTTGTAATTTCTTATTTCTTAGAGTCTCTAAAGAGTCACAAGGGTAATAGGATGGCTATGAGTTTACTCGTTTATAATAGCCGTACATGCATCTTATAAAATTGCTAATAATTTAATAATTATTATATATATATGTGTGTGTGTAAGACAAAAAAATAAATTGTTACATTTGCAGATATTACTCCTCCCAGACAATGCCTATTGTGCTTCACCTCTTCTGCTTGACTGAACACACTCACAGAAGTGCCCTCTAACTATAAGTGTAGCACATGACTTGTCAGTTACTCTCGTATCTTGTGTTCCGTGGCCTCACCCTGTGTCTTAACACCCTCCCACCTCCGTGCCTCTCACCGGCCTCTGCTGCTGCTGCTGGGCTCCTTGCACAGAGAACAAAACCTGCTTGTCTGGCTCTACAACAGGAAACCAATCAAAGGCTGAGGTGAGAGAAGAGACAAATAGATCAGAAAAAGTACAAGCATACGTTTTCCGCTTGAGATCTAAAAGTGTGGGTGGCCTACACAAACACATGGTAAGAAGAACACTTGAATTCTTATGTTTTACCATTTACGACATTATTGATATTGAAATCATTTTGGCTACTTTGGTGTAAGTATTTATTTTTTTTATTACACAGAATTGCCATGGAGAAGTTGGATTATACTAGCAGATGGGTGATTTGAAGTTTTCTGTTTTGCTAAAAATGGAAACGTGGTACCTGCTAAAAGACACCTGGACTTAAGAGAACAGAACAGATTTTTTTTGTTTTTTTTTGTTTGTCTAAGTAACATAGTTAACATTTGCAGCATCACAACAATGGCAACGGCAAGTTCAGAACCACCCAAAAACCCAAATTCCAAACAGCTGACCAATACAGACAGGCGTTTGGTGGAAAAGGTTTTGAAAAAGTTGGAGAGGCTGTTTGAGCTGTGTACGGACCCACGTTTAGGACTCAAAAACAGCCCCCCTTATTTGCCTGACCTGGTGAGTGAGACCACCGCCTTCCTTCTTCAAGTGTGGGAGCCATACACGGACCTTGGTGTGACAATGGACCAGACACCCAAGGGAGATGAGGCCAGGTACCTACGAATCCACGTGAGGAATCTGCTGGATAAGACGGACAAGGCGCTACTTCTTTTCAGAGAGGGAAAAGAGAAGATTTTTGAACAGACATCAAGTTCCAGGTAACGCACTGTCAATAAATAATACAATTGCTTTAGCACTTTCACTTTGATGGCATACAGCAGGCTCCAGATAAGTTACACACAGGCTTGTCTGAGTGGGAGTTTATCTGAGAGGTACAGTAATCAAAACGTCTTACACAGCACAGGGCTCTGTTGTCAGCACACATCCTGACGGATAAAGATAGCGGAGTTAGAATAGTTGCTGTGACATTTCTCCAAGATGGTACAGACAAATACTAGGATTAGGCCCCCACATGGCTCCAGTTGCAAGTCAAACTGTTTTCTTTTTTTATTATTATTATTATTATTTACACACCAGGTTAAAGATGCATTGTGCAACTTTTCCACCTGATAATCTGCCACCTGCTTGTCTTTATGGTGATGTTAATGCTTTACCTGTAATGTTCCTCACTATGGCATTCATGCTGACTCCACCAGCACCATCAACAGTTACAATTCGGATCTGAGAGGTAACCCTGCTCACAACAAGAATCCAGGTTTTCCAAGGTTTTTTGAGCAATACAAACACATGCAGTGAATAGTGTGGAACATTCCAAGCAAAGCAACGGCATGACATTGGAGACAAGCAGCTGGCAGACCTTAGACCAGAGTTGTGTTTGATAGTGAAAACAATTTTTAAAAAAACAACAAAGATATTGTTTGTGAATTCAAGTGAATTTCTGGGTCTGTTTTCTTTGTTCCCAACAGAAACATGTCAGGATTTATTGCAGCGCTGTGCCCCAGTTGTTGAGCTGCAGGGCATATGCGCGATGGGCACTTGCCTGTTTATCTATTTATTTATTTTGTGTTCCTCTTTGATAATTGAATGTTGTTTAATCATTGAAGTGAGACTAACATTTTGGCACTTGTCTGGGGAAAAGTTCAACCCTGGGCGGGAAAAAAACTGTCACAGTTCCTGACAGTTTTGTTAATCTTTGTCCCCACGCGCACTGGGATTTTCAGGTCATATTCTGTCCTATCTTTTTTTTTTTTTATGTGATCTATATCAAATCTAAATAGATAATTTAAACAACATAGTAGGCATTATATTTTTGATAGGATAGACATTACCTTAATTTAATACATTCAGCATATTCTAGTACTGGACCTTTTGATTGCAGCAGGACAATCCCGCTGCCCATGCTATATTGTTCTATGGAAGGCTAATCATTTCTAGGATAATGGGGCCTGTTCAGTATTATAATGAAAGTGAATGCTTAACTGTGTAATCCAGTCTGAACACTGAAGAAAAAGAAATACATCTAAAATACAAATAATTTAGTGGCATGTAAATAGTTTTGTCTATGAATCGGAAAAGAAAATGCCGTACGGATCATACTGAACATGGACAAATAGGCTGTCTAATAATAAATAACCGTTAATGTTTTAATTAATTTATTAATTTTTTGCATGACATTTTCTGATTTTGTTTGTTTGCTGTAGGTGGCTGCTTAGCAACCTAAATACAAACTGAATTAGAGTTTCCATGTGCCTCTGTGCCTCAGTGCTTGGTGTGTAGTTTGAAAAAGTAGTGACTTGAAGTGACTTTTCTTTTTAGATTTGGGCTCGTTTGCCTTAGCTGGTTCAGAATACTAATCACGAAGTTTGTCTCAAAGAGTCTTTTATCATGATAATGTGGAGAACTCAGCAAAAGCACCCAGAACCAAACTTGTCCTACTTTGTACAGAAAGAGGATACTTATTTGTGTAGTTGAAATATAATGTTTTAGGAGTAGTGCAAAAGTAAAATTCTATTACTTTACAGTTAACAATAAAAACTTATAATGTAAGTACTGCTTAAACTCATTAAAGCTACTAAATGGCACTAATTAAGTAAGTAAATCAATAGGCTAGTGTGTTATCACAGAAAAGCCTAAACTGGAAGTCAAAACAATGAATTTTTGAAGTTCTTACGTATTCAAATTAACATACTTCAAAGCATCAAAACAAATACCACAACTTTCTACTAAAGCTATAGTTACCAATTAAGGGTGTTATTTCTAATGACAATAGCAACATGGTTAAATCCACCGGTGTACATTGGAAGAAAAGTAATTATACTATATAACCTATAGGACTGTCACAATTACTAGTATGTGGACTTCTATAAGAGAGATGGATCAATAAATTTGGGGGTCAGTATTTATCATGGGTATTTGTACTGAAGGGAAACTTTTTGTTAAACTTCTGTTCTACGATTATACTTGAGCTCAAGCTTTACTACATAACTTACATGACTAACTATATACAAATTAGTATAGGTGTTTCATTCTGCTTTTTATTTATTTATCGCAGTTTTTACTTATTTTTTATTTTTTGACATAATCCTCCTGTAGGGTTAGTGGTATAATTAATCTAAATATTATTGTCTGTTTTCTTCGCAAAATATCACATTTCAAAATTTGTTACTGTGACATTTAAAGTTTAAGTCAGATGTGATTGAATGAAATATTCAAATGTCTCAAGCACTGTATGTACTAGGATCTTGTGGTTATGAGATATGTAATTTATCGGACTTCTGCATTTAATTGCTGCCTGGCATTGTTATTTTGGTTAATATTTCCTGTTCATGATTTACTGATTTTCATGGCTGGTGCAATTTTGATTCACAAAACAACCACAATAGGGTTTTTTATATGTAAAATTACCCCTAAATACTGTAAGTCACACTGTTCTGCTTGGTCAGTCAATTGAGTCATGACTGTGTAATGTCACATGTTGTTTTTATACCACACAAGAAAGAAGAAATAAAAAAGATGGGAATAAAATTATAAATTCTATTATGATATTTTCTGTTATAATGTTGTTTTCTCATCAAAAACATCTAGGGTTGTGTTTGGCTTCATTCACATGTTTAACTCATAAACCCTGCATATTTAGGCTGACTATTTCTCTCAAACAGAAAAAAAAAAACCTCTGTTCCACTTTGTGATATCATGTGGTAATACAGGAAGAGCTTCACTGTGTTTTTAAAGTCCATACAGCTTCACTTGAATCTTTTGGATGATTTCAGCCCTGGAATTGCCAATCTTTACTGAACTAAAGATAAAGGGTAGGTGTTAACGTGAAAACTACCACTAAATGTCATCACAAGGTAGAACAGAGCATTTGCGCTTTGGAGATGTAGACACATTAATAAACCAGGATTATTCAAACATGCATGATTGAAACAAAACACAACTGTGGGTATGTTTTTGAGGAGGTAATAACATTCCAACAAAACTCTAGTAGCTTAAAGCTCACAAAAGTCAATTTAGCTAATGCAGGACCTTAAACATGTAAGTGAAATATTGAAGTACCTATTTTTAGAGTATGGAGTATCACTTATTTCTTTGTACTTTACACACTTCCACATACCCAGACTTTACATTTCACTGTGTCATAAGTCACAACTGAGACACACTTTTACTTTTACTTGGGCTTTGAGTAATTATATTGTACAGAATTTCAAATAATTAGAATAAATACTCCTCACTGCCATTCTAGATTTTTGTCCTTGCTGAAAGTTAATCACTATTATACACAATATCCTTGACAATATCCTTAGACAAACACGCTGGGTTTTCATTCTGTTTGGGGACATTACATTGACTTACATTCATTTCCTGGAGACTCATCCTAACCCTTAAGCACAGTTAAACTGTAACCTAAACCTAACTTTCACCCATTTTAAACAATATCATACAATGCTGTTTTTGTACTTTTCCGCCAACTCATACCAGCAAGTAGGTGAGGTGATTTATTAAAACCATCAGCCTACAAGGGTTTTGGATTACATTCTAGCTTTGTACCACGGTAGACCTTAATGAATAACTGTTCATTTAACAAAAATATTGATAGATTTTAGAGCATATTAATTATATTAAATAAATTCCAAGAACTGTCAACAATGAAAATATTTGACCTAGGGCTGGATATGGCCAAGTGATAAAAATATAACACCCGGGATGATTACAATCTCTATCTACTTCAATACAAGTCAAAGAAAGGACTGCTGGTCTGTCAAACATGGGAAGTTCTTTACATTTTCATTCTAATCTCATGCTGTTATTTAAGAAATTGTAAACTGCATTCAGTTACATTTGTATATATATCAAATTATAATTGCACAATAAATAAAGTAAGAAAATCGGGAGTAAACTTGTTTTATAATAATTCTCGATTTCATGATTAAATCTCAATTATTAAACTATTTAATTGCCCCGCTCTAATTTGAGAAACACATCATTGCTCCACCTTTGAAAGTTTGCACATCTTTGCGTTTTAAATCAAGTTCATGCTCATGATTACTACATTACTTAAAGTACTATTTTAATGTATAGGGAACTACTTCCTACTAGTTTTTAATCAAATATGGGAACTACTGCTACTACAGTTTTTTTTTAACATATTGCACTGGCCACTGGAATGTTTTGTGGTGTTCATTGACAAGGTGCAGCACTCAGCATCCTGTTTGTGAGATGGACCACTCTACATGTGGGTGTGTGGGCGTGTGACTGTGTGTGGAACATATCTGAAAACAAGTGTGACAAAGGACCGTTAATCGATGTTCAACTCAATATCTGCGGACACATTGTTAATATATTGTTTATATATTCTTACAGCAAAAGTTATAATTCTTTAACATGAGTTCTATAATGCAAAATGGTCTGAATTGGAAAAGTGGAAGTGAAGTAGAGAAGCAGTTTATAAATAGCCATGGTTACATATGTATACGTAAACACTTAACCCCATTAATTCTTTTCTACATTTATAAATGAAGAATTTAATATTGGACTCAGTCAACAACATATTGACATACATTAACATTTCACATCAGACGCCATGTTAACCCTCTCAGGCTCAAATAAATTTTTAGTATCAGGAAAAATCTGATATTTGGGGAAAATTATAATATGGGGTAGTAATATACAATCCTGACTTTTTTATCCTTTGTAAACAAAAAAAGTATTTTGCACTTCTGGCAGGCCGTTTGCGTGCCATTCTTGCACAGTCTGCATCGCCCACGTTTATCAGCATGGATAAAAGCTTATAAAATATGGATGTGGAGTAAGTAGGTAATTGGAATTTAGCTGTTGCAAATCTGCAATGCCTGCCTGGAGAGGGTTAAAGTGCATTGTTATTTGTTATTTATAAGTGGTAAAACTAGCTAAGATTCATATGCAGAAGTCAAATATTATGCTATTTTCTGATTTTCCTCATCACAAACATACCTAAAGTTGTGTTTTGTTTCATTTCCACATGTTTAACTTTACACCTTGATATCATGTGGTAATACAGGAAGTGCTCCTCTGTGTTATTATATTTATAGAAAAATTGTGGAACAGAGCATTTTGAACTTTGAAGATGTTGTCAGGCTAATAATAAAGGGTGTCTCAATCATGTGTGAATGCTCCAGGTATGTTTTTGAGGAGGTAACAGCATTCTAACACGGCTTAAAACTCACAAGAGTCAATTTTGGGTATTATAGGATCTGTAACCTTGTGCTCAACTTATTTTCTTACAAAAAAATAGAAAAACAAATCATTCAGCAAAACACTGGCAAATAACTTGAATGATATTTTAAGACTGAAAACTACTATTATAAGCAAGTAAGCGTGTTTATTCACAAAACTGTTCACTAAATCCCAAATATACCAAATCCAAATAAATCTGTATTTTGTCTTGCATTTTAGGAGAAACCTGACGAAGCTTTCCCTGCTCTACAGTCACATGCTGTGGGAAATAAAGGCGCTGTTTCCCGGGGGGAGATTCCGCGGCGACACCTACTGTGTGACCAAGACCGAGGCCCAAGAGTTCTGGAGGCGGTCGTTCAGGCACAAGTCAGTGTGATGCGGGGACTCGAACCATCAATCATGTTTGCATAGTAACGGCTAAACTTTTCGTCACAGGTGTATAGTGCAGTGGAACAGTTTTAAAGAGAAGCTACAGAGCGTACATGCGTTTGAAGAGGGGATGGAGGCTATGGCTTTGAAATCCACTATTGACCTGACGTGTAATGACCACATATCAGTGTTTGAGTTTGACATTTTCGCCAGGTTATTTCAGGTATGTGACCTTTACAGACCTCACTACCTCAGACTGTTCCATGTCTTTGTCATGGTTCTCTGAAATACAGTATCCGCTCTTTCATGTACCCTGACACGTTCCACTCTGTACACCACAAGTTGCCTTTGACTGATTACAAATGTTTAGAGCATACTTTGACACCATCAAATAAAATACGCACTTAAAAGTCTTAACATGCATACGCACACACACACATATGCACACGAGCAGAGGGTGGAGAGCTCATTTTATGTTTTAAGGTATAATTGAAAAAAATCATTCAATTCATTCAATTCAATTCATTATTAAATTGCCAATGTGAATCACTAAATGGCCAATGTTATAAAAATTGTTTCCCCATCAAGAACATACCTGGAGTTGTGTTTTGTTTTTTGTCTTGCTGAGTTCTTCTCTCAAACTGCAAACACTCTGTTCCACCTTGTGATGTCATGTGGTATTACAGGAAGTGCTCCACTGTGTTTTTAAACTTATCTTAACTAGAATCATTTGGATCATCTCAGCCGTGGAATTTACTACCCCTGCTTAACAAATGCTTAAATGTAGGTTAACTTAACTTGAAAACTAATGCTGCATGACATCACAAGGTGGAACAGAGCATTTTGAGCTTTGGAGATGTAGACGTACTAATGTGTGAATGAAACAAAAATCAACTCCAAGTATGTTTTGAGGAAGTAACATTATAACACGGTTCAAATCTCATAAGAGTTGATTTTGCGTAATATCGGACAATAAAAAAATAGGTCCACTGTGTTCATGTGCTATGCAACTTGACTTGGCAAAATTCAGTGCACGTTTTGATTAATGTATGGTAAATATATGCCCCAGAATTGTTTAAGCAGTGCTGATATTTAAGAGCCAGAAGAGTAAATGTTAAGCTAATAGTAATATGTTTTATCAATGGGTAAATAATTGTAGTCTCTGATTTCTCCCTCTGAATTTTTAAGATAATAATTTGTTTAACTAAAGCCAAATGAGAGATAACCTTTTACTGAAATATCCGATCCTTTAGATTCTCATTGCTTACACACTTAAATCCTGACTAAATAAAGTGTCCTGCCCAGAGAACTTACAAGAAATAGTTTATAATTACAGATTACTAATAGAGTAGTAATATCTTAAATAGACCTTATGGTCACTTATTCCCTTAGTTCCTCATTGCTATATTTACATGGATTATAATCTCATTTCTAGACCACAAAATTATTTAAATGGCATGCAAATCACAAACAAAAATGTAATAATCAGATATGCAGTGTGCATGTAACCACTCATTTTAAGATACTTAGATACATAGAATGGCAAAATCTGTCATTCTTAACAGTGGCCACCACCCAAAAGCAGGTCATACCAAGAAGGTTGAGTACAGTTTCAGTTTGAAGGCTGCTGAAAGTTTCTTAGAGAACACAACGGGTAAATAAATAGAACCATGTGAAGAATATAGAAGTTAAATAGAGTGCAAGAGGGGTTCATTCTACATACAGGACTACATTCATGGCATACCGTACAACTGTACAACAAATCACCCTTATGTAATAGATAAGCCTATGTCATGTCCATCACTATTTCATCTTTGCACTGTTTCTCCTTACCCATCTCTTGTATATAGTCGAGAAATTTTTAATATTTTCTCTATTTACATCTTTTTTTCTTTTTTTTTTAACATGTACATATGCATTTGTATAATTATGCCTTATTCGACACCAGTTTCTTGGTATTTTTGCTACTTAGTTTGAATGTATTATTACCATTTAAACTACCAGTCAAAAGTTTGGATTCTCCCTCTCATTTAATGTTTTTTTTTTTTAACTACTTTTTACATGATATACAGAGGACATCAGATATACAAAATTTTCAAATTAGCCACCCTTTGCTTTGTCTAAAAATATTCAGTCATTTAACTTTTCTTTACTAAATAATTAATTAATCTTTCTTCATATATTTGATGTCTTCTGTATATATATCAAATGTGGAAAATAGTAACCACACACACACAAAAAAAAAAAAAAAAAAAAACAGAAAGAGAGGTTGAGTTCAAACTTTTGATTGGTAGTGTATATTTTTGCTCTTTGTTATTATATTATATTGTGATGTGTGAGCCACTGTGCCCACATAATTTCCCTTGTGGATATTACTGATATAAAGTCTAGTCTTTCTCTAAGTGTAATTCTAGCCAATAAAACACAGAACATAGGGTTTAGCTAAAAATACAAAATGCACTTCTATAAAAAATTTAACTGACCTCACATTGACCCCTGTGTCCTGGTTTAGCCCTGGAAGACTCTGCTCCGGAACTGGAACTATTTAGCGGTGACCCATCCCGGATACATGGCCTTCCTCACCTATGACCAGGTGGTGCGGCGCCTGGAGCACTACCTGCACAAACCGGGGAGGTGAGCACAACTTCACTCCATAAATCAAAATGACAAGTGCTTCTCCAACTCCTGTCTCTCTCTGGAGCTTTCCCAAGTGCCAGGGTTAGATTAAGTGACATTGATCTTTCTGAGGCAAATGAGATCCACAGTGCAGCAAACATCTGCAGTGTTTTCAGCAACTTAAAATTCATTAGAAAAGGTTTAGATCATCAACATGAGAAGTCTGTCTAATGTGTGGGGTTCAATTTGAAGTGACATTGCTTCTACAGCCTCATATAAACCATCTTTAAATTCTTACAGAATTAACTATTTAAAAACTAATCCATGCTATCTTTTAACTTCCACAATACCTTAATGAACACTGTCTGTGATGGAAATACAGTTTGGTTTGGTTTAAATAACCAATGTGAGAACTTAATCTTGTTTGCATTTGTGAGCTGCTCAGTTCAGTTTGAAGTGGGATTGGATCTATGACCTCATATCAAGTTTTAATCTTTTATAAATTTACTTACTATTAAAAAAAAGTGTATGATAAGTTTAAAACTTTATAAAAGCTTAATGAGCACTCTTTCTGACAGGCATACAGTTTGGCAAGGTTTAGGCCACCAAGGTCAAACGTGAGTGAGCTGAGCTGTTGCATTCAATTTGAAGTGGCATTTCATCTATGACCAGTGTTGGGAAGGTTACTTTTAAAATGTAATCCCCTACAGATTACAGATTACACACCCCAAAATGTAGTTTGTAACGTAATCCATTAAATTACTTAAAGTGAGTAACGTAATCTGATTACTTTGGATTACTTGATATTGTCATGTTTTTTTAAACGACATGAATGTAGCAGCCACATCCTGAAAATTCTTGTTTGTTGTCTTCAAATTGTCTGAGCCCAAGTCTCCATGAATAAGCAACTGTTTGCTGTAGAGAAACAAAGACCATGACATCTTAATATAAGAGGTTTTGTCTGTTAAAAGACAGAAACAAGATCAGCCTTTCCTTCACCAGATTAAAAAATATTATTGATAGAGAAATTATTTTTTATATGAGATCACCTTAAATTATGTCAACCTACTGTTAGGTGTCATGTTGTTTAGACCTGGTTTAGTCCTGATTTTAGACCTGGTTTAGACCAGGTCTAGACCAGGTCTTTAGTTCTGGTTTAGTCGTGGTTTAGTCCTAGTTTAAACCTGGTTCAGTCCTGCTTTAGTCCTGGTTTAGTCCTGGTGTTAGTTCTGGTTTAGTCCTGGTGTTAGTTCTGGTTTAGTCCTGGTGTTAGTCCTGGTTTAGTCCTGGTGTTAGTCCTGGTTTAGTCCTGGTGTTAGTTCTGGTTTAGAGGCGCACAGGGGGAAGCGCGGTTTACGCGAGAAAACACGGTCCACACGCGGCGCACGAGACGTCGGTGTCCGCGCTGTAACTACGGAAGGAGACGTGGTCCGCGGGTTCTCGGTTGATGACGATGATGAAGGTGTGTGTTTGTGTGTGTTTTGTGTGCGCGTCCCCTCATGTTGCAGGTCATTATAGGACAGTAGTGCAGATATTATGAGTCTATGCAGGTTGTTTTCACCAGTGCCAGTAGCTCCTGTTTCACATTTAAGTTGTAGGCGATTTTATATTTGTTTTTATATATATATATATATATATATATCTCACATCGGGAGAAGAATTTCCAAGACACAAATGCGTTTTTACCAATGCACTGCTGCTTCCACTGTGTGACTGACACCGCCAACTTTAACATGACGTTTACGTCGCTCTTATTGCGCGCGTTCTGTTTGGGCTTCAGGCAATGAGTGAAATTACCGAAATAAAAAAATAAATAAATGGGATGTAGCACAAAATGTGAAAACAGGAAAATACCGCCTTGTAATCCACTTATTTCAGCAAAGTAACTGTAATCTAATTACCACTCATTGAAACAGTAACTGTAACGGAATACAGTTACTCATAATTTGTACTCTGATTACGTAACGGCGGTACATGTAATCCGTTACTCCCCAACACTGTCTATGACCTCATATAAACTAGCCTTAATATCTTAATAGTTTAATGAGTGCTATCTGTGATAGAAACACAGTTTGGTTAGGTTTAGATTCTTCTTCTTATGTCTGAATTTTTATTTTTATTTTTTGTAAATCACCATAACAGTTTAATTAGCTTTTTTTTTTTGGTTGGATATTTCCACGTATAACTCACAATGAAATCATTATCATTCACAAATGTTGAAATATCAGTCATCCTGTCCTGTCGGTATTTGAGGTGACATTATTCATACTTAAATGCATTTTTTTCCTAAGTTAGCATTTGGACTTACAGAACATATCATCCATTCCTTTTTTATTGCATTCATATTCATTAGATTTGAAGTTGTATTTTTCTTTCAGTTACATCTTCAGACTGAGCTGCACTCGACTGGGGCAGTGGGCCATAGGTCATGTGACCACTGATGGTGCTGTCATCCAGACCATTCCCCAGAACACACCTCTGTACCTGGCTCTGATCCAGGGATACAAGGAGGGCTGGTAAGTGTTAGCTAGTATCTTAAATATTTAGAATACTTAAATTTTTGAATTTCATATTAAAAGACAAATAACTTCTAGTATTTGGAGCTTCGATAAACCAACTCATGTGTTATTGTTGCCAAAGAAAGTGAAAATGTGGGTGTTAGATAGAAATATAGATAGATATCTTTATTATAGACTTGTGACTTCCTGTTCCTCATTAACACCATAATGTTACCACCCACTTGCAAAATGAAATTCAGCTTTATAGATTTATGTATACATTATGCACACACACTACATGTCAAATATACATGGAAATAAATATTATTTATAATTTTAGTTTGTATGTTTATAAATTATAAAACACATTTTTGTTACTCAGACTATGCTTTTGTCTAAATATAAAAGGAAATATTATCTTTAATTTTTGTATCAATTCAGTTCCATCTTTATTAAGAACACAGAATATCTCATTTCTAAAAGTAAGCAGTAAAAAGAAAATAAATAAAAAAAATACAACCTACAGTTGAATCTGACAGAGCTCCTCACGTGACAAATTAAAAATTAATAATTACAATATCTAATCATGACAACACAGGATCTCACACCACAGTTTGCAAACATTTCACTAGCACTGCAAATCCTCCGCACTTTTAGCAATATTTGGAAAGACTTATTATAAGCCACTGTCACTGTACCATTTTAGTTGTCATAGGATTTCACCATTGCCATTTATTTAATTAACTTTAACTTTATTTTTACATCTTTCAGCTATCTCTACCCAGACGGCCGTGATATCAACCCTGACCTCACCAGCCTATGTGAATCCTCCCAGAAAGGCAAAGTTAAAGTCACAGAAGTAAATCACTGAACTACCTCCAGCTCATCAACTATTATCATTTCAAAACTCTCAAACAATTCAAATTTCCCTGTACACCTGACAGGAGCAGTACGAGTTATACTGTGAGATTGGCAGCACTTTCCAACTCTGTAAAATCTGTGCGGAGAGAGACAAAAACATTAGGATCCAGCCCTGCGGTCATCTGCTGTGCCACACGTGCCTCTCAGGTTGGCAGGTGAGCCCTCTCCATTGTTCCATGGCGTAATTACCCATCATGCCTTGCAAACCGGGCTCTGACATTTAAATGACAGCACATTATTACTGTTACGGCTCTGTGATCACTGGAGCGACAAATATTTTTCCTTCTAAAGGCCATAGCTGCCACTGTCTGATCGTTCAGTATAAGCGTATAAAGCAGGAGGTTTAGGGTTGGGTTTGAATCTGAAGGGAGTTTTACATTTTAGAAGACAAGCCAAAATGGTGATTCAGTCAAACTTTTTATCATCATAATAAATACTCCTTTCTAACTGAGTTTAAAGGGGCATCGTGTAACTTTTCTGGTGGAGAGTCCTTCATATGCTTTTCTTCATATAGATAGCATATAGGTGTTATTGCTTTGAGTGGAGTGTTTCATAGTATGGCATTAAACCTTTCTGTCTTCACGGAGACCAAACCAGATCAAATTACAGGTCAGGTCTGTGTATATGCGACCCTCACAGTCAGAACACCTGCTTCTATTTGAGCAATAACAGTTGTAATTGAATAAATGTAGAGCTGTTTAATGTCATACTGTGGAACATTCCAGGCAGGGCAGTGACATCTCTATAGAAACGAGCAGGTGATGGACCGGCAACCAAAAAGTTACTCAATGCACCTTTAAATGTGATCATGTGATGAATTTCCTCCAATTTGTTTATGATTTCACATTCTAGGTTTTCGATTTTAGTTCCCTTAATATGGATTTGACATGTTTCGGGACTCCAATTTGTTTATAATTTCACACTCTAGATTTTAGATTTTAGTTCCCTTAATATGGATTTGACATGTTTCAGGGCTGCCCCAAAGTCTTAACTTCCCCTTTTATATGCATATCATTTATGTGAACAAAACGCATCACTCTAAATTAGATAGTAGGCTTTTACTAGGTGTTAATTGTGACCGTATCTTACACATAAGGTTGTAATATATAAATCTGATTAATAATATGATTTTGTTTTATTAAAGGTGCAGTATGTAACCTTTCTAGCTTGTATGGAGATGTTATTGCCTTGTCTAGAATGTTAAGTATGGAGACAAGCAGGTGATGCCAACAGGCCAACTTCATGTTATACTTTGGAATATTACAAGCTATAATAATATCTCCATGGAGACACTTTATTTAAGTAGTGGATTATTTTGGTTCAGTATTTAATGTTTGTTTCCTGTAGCATAATGTCTGCCATATAATTAAATTATAATAAGGAAAGATAAGCTCAATAGAAATTATTTTTAGACACCCACAGCCCTGTTTTTACTACTCACTCATAAATGGAATATATTGGAGAACTTTTAGTAATAGCTGGTAATAAGCTTCCAAATATAACAGCTAATCTCTTTCACTAAATAACCTATGACCCCTGTTTGACCCCAGCAGAAGTCAGCTGGACACACGTGCCCATACTGCCGCTGTGATATTAAAGGCACTGAGTCGGTGGTGGTGGAGCCCTTCACCCCTGATCCCGTCCTACACCACGAAGTGCAGTGGAGAGAAGAGATAGAAGATGAAGACCACGAAGACATCGAAGTCATGGTCAAAGAAATGGCTGCTTTGAAGGTACTTCACAAAGACTAGGGCTGTCACGATAACAAAATTTGAAAAATGATATATGGCTGAAAAAAAATATAGGAGATAAACGATAATATAATGATTTAAAAAAAAAAAAAAAAAAAAAAAAAAAAAGCCCAAAAAGTTTAATATGGTTAAAAAAAAAAAAAAAAAAGCAAGAATAAATAAATAAACAGCAGAATGAAACACTTGGCATATATAATGAGTCATAGAAATTATTTATTCAACCCTCTACAGCTCACATCTAATCTAGAACAGAAAAATAACAAACAGGGGACTTTTTGTTATTGTCACTAGTACCAAGGAAAAGTACCAATGAGAAATATTGACCCCCAAAAATGATTGTTCCATCTGTCATGTATTGAACAATAAGTCAATAAAGTAATTAAAGGCTTAACAAAGACAATAGGAAAGATGTTTTACAAATGATTAACCAGCCACAGCTTGTATCCATCTGTAGTGATTTAGTTCACAGAAATGTAATTTATTGATTTAATTAAATTGAAACAAACGCTTGCCTGAAAATTTTAATTATGTTAAAATTTGACATCACGGTTCAAACTAATTAAAACCTAGCATACACTGTACAAATATCTCAATGTTGCTGTGAATAACTTAAAGGTGCACTGGTACACGTACACATTTTGTTTGCTTGTTTCTATGGATATGTTGCTCTACCTGGAATGTTCCACAGTATGACTTTAAATAGATCTGCCTTACATTTATTCAATTACAGGTGTTTTATACAGCTCAAAAAAGACATTCTGACTGTGAGCAGGGTTGCCTCTCCACAGATCTGACCTGTAACTTGCTCTGGTTTGGTCTCCATGAAAATAGAAAGGTTTAATACCATACTGTGAAACATTCAAGACAAAGCAATAACATCTCCATGAAGAAAAGCATTTGACGGACCCTCCACCAGAAAAGTTACACAATGCACCTTTAAATGATTATTTCTTACTAATTATTTTTCTTTGATTCAATTTTACATCTACACAATAACCTGTGTTGTAACCTGTTTCCTTAAACTGCAATTACAAGTAGATGCCATTCACGTCAGTAAAAACTCCTATTTTCTAGTTCTCTAGTTTGGACTACCAAACCCCCTCCTCCCGACCAGTGCCTAACCCTCCTCTGCCCGCTAAAGCCAGTAGATCTCCCCAAGGCCACGAGGACTTTTCTGACCCCAAGAACCACACAAAACATGCAACGAGCTCAGCAGTAAGCCATAGAAAAACTCATTATCCTTGAATCTTTATTTGACATTTTTAGAGTGCACCCTGTAAAAATCCTTTCCCTACACAAAGGTTCAAACTATGCTTGTTAATTGTGAGGGGCCAATGGCTGCCTCTGTATTATTCTTGTAGTAACATTTGTCTCCTTTGCACAAACCAGACTCAGAGCAACAATGAAGCATCCACAATACAAAACAACACCAAAAGGTTAGTCGTGTTTCCAATATACAATTCTCAATTCCATTGTGTTGTAACTGCACCATTGTGTATTATAATATTTTGATTTTATGTTTTCAGTAGTAAAGTAGTAAAATACAGAATTTAAATATACATTTTAGGTATATGTACTTAAGTATAAGTGGAGACTTTTTACTTAACTACATTTGAGAGTAGGTATACTGTACTTTCTACTCCACTACATGTTCGAACTGGACTGAAAAGTAAAAGTATTTGTTTATTACTGCTTGAGACCAGCGGAAAAAGCTGGATTTATTTTTAACATTTAAAATATACAAATAAAAACTATGTATTTAATTGTTTCTATATTAAGAAAAATCACTACAAATCTGTATAAAAATCAATACATCAAAATCTATGTGAAATACTTATACTAACTTTTTAAAGCGAGTACTTTAATGCTTTTTGTTAAGTAGATTTTTTGCGTGAGTATTTTTTGTTCTGGTACCTGTATTTTTACTACACAATACAACTGAGTACTTCTTCTGCCACTGAATGTGCCATAATACATCATCCCAGGTCAAGTATGTGAGCTTTATTTGACATCATGAATAGTCAGTAATGGCCGTCTTGTCAAAAAAATGTATAAAAACAAAAATGATCACAATTCTCTAAATGCTTGAACTCAATGAAGCATTTATAATTATTAAGGAGATGCTCTCTTTTGTGAAAACATGATTCAAGTTGATGAAAAGTGTAGTTCTTTTTTTTAATGTTTTGTTACCATTTGTTTTTCATAGTGGTGACTCAAGTACCCTCAAGGAGAACAGGTCCAGTGGTCTGAAACTGCAAAAACAACGCACCCTCTCCAGCAGGTGATACATTACTGATGACAACATTTTTCAAAAGCACAAAATCACATTATATTATACCAAGGTCTGTTAAATTTTTAACTTCAAATTTATAATCTTCAACAGTGCTGAATGTCTAACAGAATTCAATCCAACGACCTCCAACAAGAATGAATGTAAGTTATGCTTTTAATATTGTGTGTTACTGCGTACAATGAAATTGCACACCTTTGTTATACTGAGAAAAAGGAGTGGTTTGTTTCGGATATTCTAGGAATTTTCTTTTCTACCAAGAAAATAAAGTAATTATTCTGTTTTCTTTTTAGCTATGTTGTTACCTCATCAAAAACATTCAGAGTTTTGTTTTATTTCATTCACATATTTTTGAGTTATCCTTTATTATTAGTCTGTTTACATCTCCAAAGCTTAAAATGCTCTGTTCCACCTAGTGATGTCATGTAGTAGTAGTTTTCAAGTGAACAGCTACCATTTTCCTTTTGTTCAGTAGAGATAGCCACTTCTAGGTCTGAAATAATCTAAATGATTTTAGTGGTGTATAGAGTTTAAAAACACAGTGGAGCACTTCCTGTATTACCAAGTGACATCACAAGGTGGAACAGAGTGTTTTCTGTTTGAGAGAACTAAATATGCTGGATTTGTGTGTTAAAGATTAAGAATTAAGAAAGATTGATAAAGAAGATTTTAAAATTATTTTATTAGTTTATAAAGCTCTTAATGGTCTTAGTCCTATCTATTTATCTGATCTGCTTTTATCATATGAGCCTCTCGGACTCTCAGATCCTCAGGTAGTCTTCTTTTAACTGTCCCACGAGTCCAAACTAAAACTCACGATGAGGCGTCATTCAGCTTTTACGGCCCCCGTCTGTGGAACAGTCTACCTGAGGATCTGAGATCCGCTGCAAGTGTTCATATTTTTAAAAGTAAACTCAAATCTTTTTAATTTAGCTTTTAATTGAAACTTTCACTTAAATTATTATTATTATTATTGCTATTATTATATTTATTTTAAATTAAATTATCATTACTATTTTACTTTGTCTCCATCTGATTTTAGCTCTCCATTTTTATTTTTATTATAACCTTTAGGAGCTTTATGTTTATGTTTTTATGTTTAAATTGTTGTATATATGGATGAAACAATGGGCTGAGGTGAGGAGTTGCTGTTGTTTTTAATTACTGTATTGTAATTTTTCTGTTGCATGTGAAGCACTTTGTGCTACATTTCAAATGTATGAAAAGTGCTATACAAATAAAGTTTGATTGATTGATTGATAAAGATGTGAATGAAACAAAACGCAAATCTAGGGATGTTTTTGATGGAAACAACATTATAAAATAGTGTAATATAAGTTTTTAAAAATATTATGGCCCACATTGTGCAGTTTTCAGATGACTGTTCCAATTTAGACTTGATAAGAAATACAGTTTGAAAAAAACACTGCATACTCTTGTTCTTAGGTGCAGCAGCTTGGCTCGGACCGTCCAGCCCCGTCAAACAGAGGAAAAAACTAAAGGAAGCAGAACTGAGGAGAGTCGCTCATAAGAAAGACAAGAGTTCCCTCGGAGAGATGACAAGAACCTTGTCCTCTTGACCCCTCCTTCATCCGGTGTGACGGCAACCATCACCTCACAAGAACTCGCTCTCATTGGAAAACATTTTAGCTGTAATCTTGCCATCACAGAGTATGTGCGTGGGAGACACAGACCACCAACTGTTCAGTAATCACCTCACCATCAGTTTGGCCTACTCTAAATATAGAGCGGTTTTCTTAATGAATTTGTTTATGGGGCTTCCATTACTGCAGTGCATCTCATCTTTATTAACCGCCCGGAATGACAACAGTAATGAGAGACTGGTGGTTAGGCTGAGATTGAGTTGGGTAACCTGAGATAAACTGCATGAAAGAACTGATTAATTAGTAAACAAAATAACAATTAAACAGCCACTAACTTAGTTTCCTCTGACAAATCTTACCACAGCAATAAATGATCAGTATTCAGATATGGTACATCTGTTCACAAGCTCCTATAGGGAAATGCTATAGTGCATAACAAAATGCATTTCATTTTGCTTTAGCAAATAAAGAATTTTTCAACAAGAATTTAATTTTGATTATTATTTAAATATTAAATTAACCTATACGCTTGAAAATAATCTAATTATTATGAAACAAACTTATTTTCAGTTTGACTTTAGTACTTTTTATTTAACACATGTATTTAATAATTTTTTTTCTTGTTGCTTTTTTATTGACAATATTAACTTTTCAATTTATACTTTTCGCAAATGCAATTGTTATTATTTCTCCAAACATCCAAATATAAATGCATACATATTTATACAAACACATATTTATAAAAACACAATAAACCTGCTGAAACCTGACAGGTGATGAAGTCAAATTTTATGAAGTAATTTTTTTTTTTTTTTTGCTGACACTTATTTCTTAACAGACCCATAAGTACCATGTATGAAAACCTATTGTATTGTTAATATTGTCATCTTTATTATTTATGAATAAGCTTCCAGTGTTTCTTGGATCCAGGGCAGGAACTCGCACACTTTGACGTAGACCCCGGGGTAATTTGGCAAAGCACAGCCCTGTCCCCATGACACCAGACCGTGCACCTCATCAAAACACACGAGCGGACTGCCTGAATCTCCCTGAAATATACACAACAAAAAAGAACTACTAACACTGGACAATTAGCCAAAAAAAAAAAAAAGTATGGATTTTACATGAATTTGACAAGTAGAACAAGATACATTTTCTGCGTTTTTCACATTTTGCTAATTTTGCTCATTTGCCTATATTTTGAAGATGTTGTTTAGTATAAAATCACCAAAATTTAAAATCTTCAATTAACTAACCTAACTTAACTAACCTAAGCACTTTAAAAACTTAGTGCTGTACACAATCATAGAACAGACGAAGTAACAATACAATACAAGGTCCTTTATTATGCAAAATTGGTTCTTGTGAGATTTAAGCCATGCCTAATGTTGTTACCTTATCAAAAACATATCTGGAGTTGTGTTTTGTAGCATTCACACATGTTAAATTCTGTCTGTTTAATAGTAGAATACAGTACTCAAAATTCCTTGTCAGTCCTTGAACTCAACACCACTGAGTATAGTAGAAACACACTTACATTGCATGCATCCTTGCCTCCATCCAAGTATCCAGCACATAGCATCCTCCTGGAAATCATTCCAGGATAGGCCTTCTCACACTCGGCGTCGCTCAGAATTGGAACGTCCAAGCACTGCAGACTTGTGGGTAAGACCGCTGTAAAAATAGAATTGACTGAGACAAACTGGTAAGGTGATGACCCATTTACAAACCTGTGATGGAAAAGATACACTCAAAGAGAACAGTTGGTGGTTAGAGATGAACAAGGCATGAACACACCAGAATACGTCTGGTCTACTTCAATCAAGAGATGTATGAAGTGTCTTGACTGACCATTGGTAATTGTTCACACTAAATAAATGTGTGGAAATGACCTTAGATATACTTAAAATAACTAAACTGCATTATCTCTTTTCTTTTTCTTTATATAAATGAACAGTCAATGAGGATTACCCTAATTTTTAACTAATGTTTAACAAAACTTCTCCTGCCTCTTCTCCTTAAGTGTGTGTGTATGTGTGTCTAGAAAACAAATAGGCTGTCTGATTTGCTGTAATGAACCCACCTTCCTCCTCATTGGACATCTTGCCCCAGCCTGACACAGAACAGAGCAGGCCGTCATAGGGGCACCCTGTGGGCAGAGAGATGGGGGCCACTGCCTCTGTCACCTTCACCGGGTGGTACAGTTTGATCAGCATGATGTCGTAGTCCAGTGTCTGGTAGTCATAACTGAGAAGATATATTAGATATATTTGTGTCTGTGCAGAAGGAAGACGGGAGGAGCTGGCTCACCTGGGGTGCCAAATGATGGTGTCTGTTTTCATGACCTGCTCAGTCCCCTCAAACACGAGGAGGTTGTGTTCTCCCAGCATGATCTGCATGGCATAAGGGCTACAACACACAACTACTGAGCACCACAATATACAAACTTTATACAATACATGTAATATCATAATTATCTCAAGTGTCCCTGTATACATTCTACCTTTATTATTGCAGTACAGTACAGCAAACTGCTAGACAGACATCATCCTTTTTTAGTAATCATTATTCATGCATTCATAATCAAGTTTGCACCACTCCATAATCAAATTTGCCAATTTTTACAACATGCACTTTTCACTTCTAGAAGTTCTTTATATTTTCAAGGGTTGTCAAAAGTATTGGAAATCAGACACTAATCAATACTAAAACTAGTATGAAAACTATACTCATTTGAAAAAACAGTTTTGAGTAATAATATTTTGTGTTGAAAATTAGATAATTACACAAAGGATCACATAATTATATTCTGTGTGTTTTTCACTGTCATGTCATTATCAAAATTGGTTCTGAGTATGAAGCTGACAGTGTTGGGAAGGTTACTTTTAAAATGTAATCCCCTACATATTACAGATTACACACCCCAAAATGTAGTTTGCAACATAATCCATTAAATTACTTAAAGTGAGTAACATAATCTGATTACTTTGGATTACTTGATATTGTCATGTTTTTTTAAACGACATGAATGTAGCAGCCACATCCTGAAAATTCTTGTTTGTTGTCTTCAAATTGTCTGAGCCCAAGTCTCCATGAATAAGCAACTGTTTGCTGTAGAGAAACAAAGACCATGATATCTTAATATAAGAGGTTTTGTCTGTTAAAAGACAGAAACAAGATCAGCCTTTCCTTCACCAGATTAAAAAATATTATTGATAGAGAAATTATTTTTTATATGAGATCACCTTAAATTATGTCAACCTACTGTTAGGTGTCATGTTGTTTAGACCTGGTTTAGTCCTGGTTTAGTCCTGGTTTAGTCCTGGTTTAGTCCTGATTTTTAGACCTGGTTTACTCTTGATTTTAGACCTGGTTTAGACCAGGTCTAGACCAGGATTTAGTTCTGGTTTAGTCGTGGTTTAGTCCTAGTTTAAACCTGGTTCAGTCCTGGGTTAGTCCTGGTTTAGTCCTGGTTTAGTCCTGATTTTTAGACCTGGTTTACTCTTGATTTTAGACCTGGTTTAGACCAGGTCTAGACCAGGATTTGGTTCTGGTTTAGTCGTGGTTTAGTCCTAGTTTAAACCTGGTTCAGTCCTGGTGTTAGTTCTGGTTTAGAGGCGCACAGGAGGAAGCGCGGTTTACGCGAGAAAACACAGTTCACACGCGGCGCACGAGACGTCGGTGTCTGCGCTGTAACTACGGAAGTAGACGTGGTCCGCGGGTTCTCAGGTTGATGACGATGATGAAGGTGTGTGTTTGTGTGTGTTTGTGTCCACTCATGTGGCAGGTCATTATAGAACAGTAGTGCAGATATTATGAGTCTATGCAGGTTGTTTTCACCAGTGCCAGTAGCTCCGGTTTCACATTTAAGTTGTAGGCGATTTTATATTTGTTTTTTATGTATATCTCACATCGGGAGAAGAATTTCCAAGACACAAATGCGTTTTTACCAATGCACTGCTGCTTCCACTGTGTGACTGACACCGCCAACTTTAACATGACGTTTCCATCGCTCTTATTGCGCGCGTTCTGTTTGGGCTTCAGGCAATGAGTGAAATTACCGAAATAAAAAAATAAATAAATGGGATGTAGCACAAAATGTGAAAACGGGAAAATACCGCCTTGTAACCCACTTATTTCAGCAAAGTAACTGTAATCCAATTACCACTCATTGAAACAGTAACTGTAACGGAATACAGTTACTCATAATTTGTACTCTGATTACGTAACGGCGGTACATGTAATCCGTTACTCCCCAACACTGGAAGCTGATATCGAAAAAAATAATAATTTTAGTATGCTGACAGCTAATACATTCTAGCTATTATGATACTTTAACAGTTAGAGCATATGTTGACGTGTGTAAATGTGTCCTCAAGCCTGTTGTTTGCCAGTGGTGAAGTAGAGCATCTCTTGTAATGTCCTTACTTGTACCAGCAGTGGGCCACAGAGAGCACCCACTGCTCGTTGATGAGCACCCCTCCACAGAAGTGGTATCCGTAGTTGAGAGAGGCCATGTAAGGACGAGTATGAAGCTCACATTCTCGCCCACCAATGATCCGGCCATCCTCCCGCGGAACTGCCACTGTCACACAAGCACACAGATAGTTTATAACGTAAGACTTTTGTTTTCTACAATGTTCACATAAGGTTTCAATTACTTTTCAGAAAACAGTTGTTATGTACATTTGTTAGAATGCATCAGATTCAAATGTCTCACCAGATCAAGAAAAAGCATTTACACATAAACACTGGGAACACTTGTAGTAATGCAGCTTCAGGTTCTGAGCTAGGGTGAATATTAAGTACAGCCTTTTGCTGTTTTGTGAAACCTGTGTTACAGTTATACTTGTAACATAAATAAGAGTAACAGAAATAGCAGACCTACTTGACTATGCACTATGTAACATTTCTGGTGGAGGGTCCACCACCTGCTTGTCTTCATGGAAATTGTTTTGTCTGGAATTGGATTTAAAGAATTTGACAAACTCTATTAAAATATAACAAAGAACAAAAATATAAGTGGTAATAATAAATTCAAAATAAGTAGCAAGAATAGCAAGGGACTGTCAAATAAGGGATAAAGTAGGGGAATGTTCCACACTATAGCACTGAACTTATCTATCTTCATGGAAACCATCAAGAGACAACACCAAAGTTACAGGTCAAATCTGTGGAATCTGGTCACAGTCAGAATGCATGTTTTTCAAGGTATTTTTGAGAACTAAAAACATCCAAGACAGATATATTTAATGTACGTCTACTGATGAGCAAGTATTATTATCTCCATGGAGACACATACAACAGAAAATGATGAAGTGCAAATTTAATTATGCACCAGCCACTACTCGAACAAGCTAATAGCTATATCCTGACTATCTAAAACCAACTACAGCATGTTCAAATTTACCTAAATCCATTTTTCCCTCTCAAATACAATTCTCATTTTAACTGATGCATTGTATTGTACATTTTATATCTAATTGTCTGTGATGGGAAAATGTATTTAGTTACAGAATAATGGATATCTGCATTAAAATTCTGTTACATGGGCCAACCACAGTATTGTATTCTGAATACTTGGAATACCCTTACATAAAGTTTCATTATATTATAGTTTATTTAATTTAAGTCTAATTAGAGAAGGAAAAATCAAACATGCACTCACTGCAATAGCTGAGTTTTCTATTTTTTCTTAATAATACTGTGCCGTTACATGAAGAAGTACCATTATGTATTCTTTTTAATTTAGAAAAGTAACTGGATACTATTCTGGATACCACCAAATGAAAGAGAAACAGCTACTCAGAATTAGTAATCAGAATACATATCTTTGGTAGATGGATTCAGTTACTTCCCAGTACTGCTAACTATATTGTAAATGCAAAACTATGTTTATGTGTATTAGTGTGTTTACCAGCAGCTCCCACCAGCAGCAGCAGCAGAGCCAGCAGCTTCATGATAATGTCGATCTGAAAACGCCAGGACACACCCTCACATGTTTTTTATAGCCTTCTACACGCCCCTATCTCCTCCACCACCACCTCCTCCTTCATCTCCACCTCCCCCTGGTTTCTGCACACATCTGTCCATCCAGCTCCAATAACCCCTTATCACTTTTTACCCTTTTCATGTGTGCCCTCTCCCACCAAGCAGCGACACCCCCCATGGTTATGTCATCTGTCCAACTGGGCCATAAACGCACCGCATGGTATGAGCTCATTTAGCACCTGTTTTGATTTCCCTCACGGGTCACTCATTGTTGGCACAGGATCTAATTGAAAGAAAAAATGTTAGTTCAACCTTGCAGTGGTGCTGAAATTGGCCAAAAATTATTCGCATTAAAAATATGTCTAATACTAAAACATTTTTTGTTTGTTTGTTTTAGACCATAATTGGCTAAAAGACACTACAAAATAAAAACTATAAAGTAAATGAACACACTATTACAACTACTACTACTACTACTACTACTACTTCCACTAAGCAAGTAACCCAGTTGAATGACCTTGAATAGAGTGTAGATGAGAAAGAATCATCTGTCATAGTTCTTTTAGTACTTATAGGTTTTGTTTTTGAGTTGTAGTCAATATTTTTTTTTCAGGAGTTATATCTGTAATAAAGAACAAATTGAATAACACCATTGCATTTTTTGAACTAGCATAACTCACGGAAAAGTGGAAATGACATCAATATGAAAATCTCTTGTTTTACAAATTAGGTCAAGCAATTGAATGGCACACTGTAGATAAGGTTGTTTTTGGGGCAGTTATGGAGGTTGTGGGCAGTTTGCCAGTGGATGAATCAGTGTGGAGCTAGGTGTGCTGTGGTAAAGTAAAGGATGTCCATATAAATACTGTTATCAGGGACTTGCTCATGTCCAGTCTGCTTTGAGGAAGTCTCAGGATGGTTGGTCTGGTTGTGCTTATGTTTCTGGGGGCTGCAAGTAATGTCTATTTAAATGTCTTAAAAATATACACTAGTGCCAATGCTATAATATGTAGCATTCTTTTTCAGTTTTACATAAATAAGAAGGACTCTTGATTTTGAACCGTGACAACAACATGTAACTGAACTGGATTTAATTATATGTGTGTTTTTCAGCTGCAGCCCCTCTAGATGACAAGATTGTGGGAGCGTACAAGTGCACTAAGAACTCTTAGCCCTGGCAGGTCTCCATCAACATCGGATACCACTTCTGTAGAGGGTCTCTCATCAATGACCAGTGGGTCATTTGTACTGCCCACTGCTGGCAAAAGTAAAAACATACACTACACACGAGTCACAAGTAATGTGGTGCCAGAGCCAGGCCTCGAGAAATAGGACTTGGATAAAACCTATCAACTCATAATGCAATTTTCAACATTTTGTTATTTGGTCAGGACTGTATTTGAAAGACATATGAATACAATTACTCCAAATTATAATAAAATTTTTCTACTGTTGTTTGCAGATTAACAAAGATTTATTCATAAATTCATATTTGCATGGTTTATGGTGCAATGTACACAGACACAGTGGGTAAAGCAGGTGAAGTGTCTTCACAGCTGGATGCATTAAGGAGATTGGGAAAAGAACAACCAACAACTGAGTGTCAAAATGTTCTATCAGATCTAATAAATAAATTTGTGCAGTACATTTAGTTCTTCCACCACTGTGACATACAATTTATTAAAGCAATAACAACAATTTCCTGCACCTATCTCAGCCCCTACTCTTGTGTTGTGCTGGGGTCATGTCAGTGGATGCCATCTACTGGCATCAGAGCTATGACTATCAGACCCTGGACTATGACATCATGCTGATGAAGCTGACTCACCCTGCCATTCTGAACCAGTATGTACAGCCCATTGCTCTGTCCACAGCGTGCACTAACCCTGGGAACATGTGCACAGTGTCTGGCTGGCGCAACATCTACACTGACAAGGATGAAGAAAATACATTTTTCAATTCCGATACCAATTCCGATACTAAAGCTGTAAGTATCAAACAATGATAGAGCAGAGACTGAACACAGCATCTATTTTCTGAAAGCAAAATAAAATAAGGCGAACCTGATCCAAATGTGTTATGTGCCTGGTATGCCTCAAGTAACAATTTTGTATAAATAAGTGCAAACTATAAGACTTTCTGAGGTACTGACCAGTAAATCGTCTTATTACATCAGTTTATATGTCCAATCAGCATCTGCTGAACCAATTTATTTGAAAGCCAAAATCTGATCTAGCAAATTTTTCACCATTGTATCGGTGCATTCCTAGTTGTAATCCATCGCAATTTAATCAGTTTATTTTGTACCTTTTTGCAGTCTTCAACCACTTTAACCTTCAGTGTGTTGAGGTGCCCATCCTGTCTGATGAGGTCTGTAAGAATTCATATCCAGGAATGATCACTGACCGAATGGTGTGCGCCGGTTACCTGGAGGGAGGCAAAGAGTATAAAGTAAAAGTATAATTTCGACTTGTCAGGAATAGAAATAGATGGACCAAAAAACAAAAAGAAATTGGGAGTTAGAATTTTTTTTAATAATTGCAAATGAATACAGAGAAGTAGGCGGAGATAGGGACAGGGGAAAACAGACATTTTCAGTGCACTAAAGTCTTCAATGCAAGACAATAACAGATTATTCAAATGTGCTTGAATCAATTGGAATTCAACTGTGAGTAAGCATGTAGAAAACTGTCATAGCATATCAGATTTGCCTTGTGTCTTGTTACTGACTGTGTGAGTATTCTGGTTTATTAAAATAAAACTTAATGTACAACGTCTATCAATAAACATATTACTTATTATCTTAAACAAAGCTTAGGCAGCAGGCTACAAATGTTTTCAGCCAATGGAGTTCTTAAAAAAACATAGCAGTTATTATACCACCTACAATAAATGCTTTAGGAGTATACATTTAGTGAGTACATTCTACTGTGTTGCCTCTCACAGCGGTGACAAGCAGAGAAATAAAGCTCGTGGGCAAAAATACACTTGTACTCTTGATGCCAGGACACTCTTGAGCTGTGACATTTTTATTCAAAGGAGAGAGAACATGTCAGACTGTTGTCGCGGTGCAGGTAAACACGCTGTTAGCCAAAAACCTAAAACGGCTTTTATATCTCAACAATACATTCCCACTGCCACTGCCTGGTACACTGTCTGTCCTCGTCTCCATTTCTGCCTCATAATAACATCTGACACTTCTCCAGCTTGCTGTCAGCTAACTGTCACAAATTGATATGTGCCAGTCATTCCAAATGTGCCTCTGTCTGTGGCCTAAGATAAGATGTAAAAATTATGTATTTTTTGGAGCAAATTCAGTGTCCAGATACTTAAAACACTTTATTCATTTCCGTGTGCAAGGTAATAAGGTATAGATAGAAAGTCTTCGTGTCACAACAAACATGGCGGCTTACAATTAAAAAGGGAAAATAAAACAATAAAGAGGACTGAGAAACTGTGGATTTCCGCAAAATTGACAATCAAAAGCACCAAACTCTTATCTAACTGTCTCTAATCTGTGCATGCACGAGTCTGAGATTTTAACCAACTAAGAAGTGCAGCATGTGCAGCTTTAAAGGACTCACGTAAGGGATTGCTGGATTGTATGAAATGAGCTATTTGTTTTTAAAGTATCCATGGAGAGGGTAGCTAAGGAGCAAGCTGAGAAGCTAGCTGTGGACATTTGAGATGCCATAGGCTTTTTACATCATATGTGGCTGAGACCTTCCAGAGGAAATACTTTAAGAGAATGAACCATCTTATCACCAACTGAAACAACAGAGCCAGTAAGAGTGAGGCCTTTCAGGTTGTATTCACCTGGTTCCCCCGGAGACTGCTGTGATGCTGTAGGACACAAGTTATATAAGCCTATTATCAGTGTTGGGAAGGTTACTTTTAAAATGTATTCCCCTACAGATGACAGATTACATACACCAAAATGTAGTTTGTAACGGAATCCATTAAGTTACTTAAAGTGAGGAATGTAATCTGAATACTTTGGATTACTTGATATTGTCATGATTTTTAAAACTACATGAATGTACCAACAACATCCTGAAAATTCATGTTTGTTCTCTTCAAATTGGCCCTGGTTTAGACCTGGTTTAGACTTGGTTGAGACCTGGTTTAGACTTGGTTGAGACTTGGTTTAGTCCTGGTTTAGTCCTGGTTTAGACCTAGTTTAGACCTGGTTTAGACCTGGTTTAGTCCTTGGTTTAGACCTGGTTTAGTCCTGGTTTAGTCCTGGTTTTAGTCCTGGTTTAGTCCTGGTTTAGTCCTTGTTTAGACCTGGTTTAGTCCTGGTTTTAGTCCTGGTTTAGACCTGGTTTAGACCTGGTTTAGACCTGGTTTAGTCCTGGTTTAGCCCTGGTTTAGTCCTGGTTTTAGTCCTGGTTTAGACCTAGTTTAGACCTGGTTTAGTCCTGGTTTAGTCCTGGTTTTAGTCCTGGTTTAGACCTAGTTTAGACCTGGTTTAGTCATGGTTTAGACCTAGTTTAGACCTGGTTTAGACCTGGTTTAGTACTGGTTTAGACTTGGTTTAGACTTGGTTTAGACCTGGTTTAGACCTGTTTAGTCCTGGTTTAGCCCTGGTTTAGTCCTGGTTTAGACCTAGTTTAGACCTGGTTTAGACCTGGTTTAGTCATGGTTTAGTCCTGGTTTTAGTCCTGGTTTTAGTCCTGGTTTAGTCCTGGTTTTAGACCTGGTTTAGTCCTGGTTTAGTCCTCGTTTAGACCTGGTTTAGTCCTGGTTTAGACCTCGTTTTAGTTCTGGTTTTAGTTCTGGTTTAGTCCTGGTTTTAGTCCTGGTTTAGTCCTGGTTTAGTCCTTGTTTAGACCTGGTTTAGTCCTGGTTTAGACCTCGTTTTAGTTCTGGTTTTAGTTCTGGTTTAGTCCTGGTTTAGTCCTGGTTTAGACCTCGTTTTAGTTCTGGTTTAGTCCTGGTTTTAGTCCTGGTTTAGTCCTGGTTTAGACCTGGTTTTAGTCCTGGTTTAGTCCTGGTTTAGCCCAAAATGTGAAAACAGGAAAATACCGCTGTGTAATCCATTTATTTCAACAAAGTAACTGTAATCCAGTTACCACTCACTGAAACAGTAACTGTAACCGAATACAGTTACTCATAATTTGTACTCTGATTACGTAACTCCGGTACATGTAATCCGTTACTCCCCAACACTGCCTATTATGTTCTGAATGATAATAATAGTAATATTTTTAAGAGGACATGTCTTCTGCATTAGAGACACATTTTACAAATTAGCAGCTGTAGTTGGACAGTTATAGGGAAATGTCCATATATTAATCCATATCTGATAACTAAACATTGTTTCTGTTGCAACAATTGCCACTACACGTGTTGTGTTCTATACTGTTGTGCGCAAGCTTACTCGTTGTTATAAAATAATAAAGGTGAAGCCTCCTGTCACTCCTGCATGTCAGAGCAACCGGGCAATACTGTTGCCAGCTAAAAGTTAAACGTGTCCTGTCTCATGTGTTTTTCTACATTGGTGAGCTACCAATACTAATTATATAAAGATGTGTACACAAGCTGAGGGCACGGGTGAGGGTTCCCGTGCATCTAGAGAGCAACCCGCTGAAAAGTCAACAGTTTCAATTATGCCTCAAGTATATTGTGAAGATAGGTAAATATGCACAGTTGTGTTTTGATGAACAGTCAAACTGAAATTAACATTTAGTACTAATGTAGTTTTTAATGTTTTTATTCACTGTGATGTGGTCAGTGGTTGTGATAAAGTGGATGTTTGAGCAGTTTAATTGTTGGCCATGGTCCTCTGCAGCCAGTCGTTGAAGATGCAGACCTGCACAGAGACACACAGTTAGATAAAGGGCCACAGCAGCACACAGCTCACAGCAGGACGCAGGACTGTACCTTGGCGTAGACTCCAGGGTGGTCCCTCTCGGCGCAGCCATAGCCCCAGGACACCACTCCCTGCAGCTCACCGTTGCACACCACGGGGCCACCAGAGTCACCCTGAAAACAGAACAGGGACAGTCAGTACACAGGCGAGACAGATGGGGACACAGGGGTACAATGAGTGTGCTATGGGGACAGCAGAGGACTGACCTGGCAAGAGTCCTTGCCTCCCTCCAGGTAGCCAGCACAGAACATGGAGTTATAGATCATGCCGGGGTAGGAGTTCTCACAGTCTTCCGTGGACAGGATGGGGATCTGCAGACACTGCAGCTTGTTCCTGTCAGCGGCTGAACACAAAATAATACACAACATCTGGTTTAGCATTTTGGTGTCTCAGGTAATCTTACTGATTACCATAACACCAAGAGTTGTATTACTCACTAGAGCTCATGGTGTTGCCCCATCCAGAGACAATGCACATGGTGCCAGCGGGGGCACAGCTGATGGGCAGAGCAACAGGCTTCACGTACTGGTTGAGGGTGGCGGGCTGGCTCAGCTTGATCAACATGATGTCATTCTCGATAGTGTAGGCGTTATACCCAGGGTTGCGAATAACGAGAGCGGAGCTGATGAACTGCTCGGTGTCCTCATTCACCTGGATGTTGTGCTCTCCCAGACGCACCTCAATACGACTTTAACACACTCAGAGGTCAGAGGTCACACTCAGTATATCTTCATATGTATATCATGTCAGATACTTACGACTTGTAGCAGTGGGCAGCAGAAACAACCCAGTACTCATTGACCAGAGAGCCACCACAGAAGTGGTACCCAGAGTTCAAAGACACCTGGTGGGGCTGAGAGTGAGGTGTGCACTCATACCCTCCGACGATCTTGTCGTCCTCGGCAACTGTCAGCGTATCACAAAGTTAGTTTGCAGCTACAACAGTGTGATGGATACTACATGATGGTGTGGATTTACTCACAGGCTGCTCCGATGAGCAGAATGAAGACCAGACACCTCATGTTTGCTGCTGAGTGATCCTGTCGATGAAAGTCTTCACCTGGACACCAACTTTATAAGGTTATTCACACACCCTGCCCTGATCTCAACGACCATTGGTCATACATCAGCCAATCTCTGAACAGAGATGTCTGGGATGGGTAAGTTATTTTTTTAAATCTAAATCATAATTTAATAAACATTTTGGATACTTAAGCATTTAATATAAATGTGTACTAAAGTGTATATAAATATATATTAAATTTTTTTTTATCAAACAAAAAAATGAAAAATACTTACGCCCCCCCACACACTTTTTTATGTGTCTTGATCATTTTAAATGTTTCTTTCATGTGAATGTATATCACTGAAATTGTGGGTAACACTGTTTTTAATCTTAAGAATATTCACAACACATTTCTGATTTGATTTGTAATATTAATTTTATTCCTTCTCTACTCCACACTGAACTAGTCCACACTAGTCTGATTAGATAAGTGCTGACTCTAAAAGCACAGCTGTCTGTTTCACAGCTCCCAGAATAAATACTCATGTTTTCTCCTTTAAAATGTGCTAATCAAGCACAAAAAGAAAGTAACCCAAATACATATGTACTTTATTGTACACTATGTTGTCTTTATTTCTCACTTGAGTTGAGCTGTAGAATTTGGCACCACTTTCTTTGTTTTGTTTAGTTTTTTTTTTTTTTTTTTTTTTTTTTTTTTTTTTGAAAAAGGGAAAAGTATTTGCCAACTGTCATGGAAGTACGGCATATATACATATAGATATACAGTAAATGTAACTCAGTTAACATAATTCATATCCATATATTTCCAAAGGATGACTGTAGAACTTCTAATATTACAAAACAAAACAGTATTAATGTAATGCTGGAAACTGGTGGTCTTAAAAAAGAAAATTAAGTTTTAAATTCTGCCAACACTCAAATAATGATTTTGTTCAGGGCTTGTTAATTTTGCTAGCACAACCCATCTATTACTATTACTGCAATTATAACCCAGATCTTGCTACTACCAGTACATACTCCTCTTTCAAACCACCACATTTATAACCTGCAACAGCAGTTGTTGCAGTAACTCAAACTGGATATGACTCCCAAAATGATACAGCCATTTTCCTTTGGTTATTATGATGTTTACAACAAATAAAATAAGTAATATGCTCTGTACTTTCAATGTTCTGCCTCTGAACACATGCTGGCTGAACAGACAGTGTGAACCAGACCATCTGTGGAGCTGCTGATAGTCCCCCTGCATCAAACTCATACTGTGAACTAGAAAAGCATTCATGCCTTTAAATGGACTATTTATGTTACATGTACATTCTTTATGATTATAACATTGCTCTCTGCATTGTCACATTATTTACTTGCATACCTTTAATCTATTTATATATAAATCCTAAATAAAACATACAGTATTGTGAAACGTATGTTTCACATATGTCACATGTCACAACCTATAGAATGCTATACTATGCATATTTTCCCAGCTGTGATTGGTTGAAAGTAATGTTAGGGGTGTTGCCAAGCAGTGACTTGTGTGCATATATACCATAGCTCAGGTAAAGAACTTTCATCAACAGGATCACTCAGCAGCAAACATGAGGTGTCTGGTCTTCATTCTTCTCATCGGAGCGGCCTGTGAGTACATCCACACCATCATGTAGTATCCATCGCAGAGTTGTGGTTGCAAACTAACTTTGTGATGCACTGACAGTTGCCGAGGACGACAAGATCGTCGGAGGGTATGAGTGCAAACCTTACTCTCAGCCCCACCAAGTGTCTCTGAACTCTGGGTACCACTTCTGTGGTGGCTCTCTGGTCAATGAGAACTGGGTTGTTTCTGCTGCCCACTGCTACAAGTCGTAAGTATCTGACATGTTATAGATATGTAGATATACTGAGTGTGACCTCTGACCTCTGGATGTGTTGCAGTCGTGTTGAGGTGCGTATGGGAGAGCACAACATCAAGGTGAATGAGGGCACCGAGCAGTTCATCAGCTCCGCTCGTGTCATCCGCCATCCCGAATACAGCTCCTACAACATTGACAATGACATCATGCTGATCAAGCTGAGCAAGCCCGCCACCCTCAACCAGTACGTGCAGCCCGTTGCTCTGCCCACCAGCTGTGCCCCCGCTGGCACCATGTGCACTGTCTCTGGATGGGGCAACACCATGAGCTCTAGTGAGTCACAACTGTGTACTATGAAGTTTTAACAGTAAGATTTAGCACATTTAGCATTAGTCAGTAAGATTACCTGAGACTCCACAATGCTAAACCTGAAGCTGTGTATTATTTTGTGATCAGCCGCTGATAGGAACAAGCTGCAGTGCCTGCAGATCCCCATCCTGTCCTTCAAAGACTGTGACAACTCCTACCCCGGCATGATCACTGATGCTATGTTCTGTGCTGGCTACCTGGAGGGAGGCAAGGACTCTTGCCAGGTCAGTCCTCTGCTGTCCCCATAGCACACTCATTGTACCCCTGTGTCCCCATCTGTCTCGCCTGTGTACTGACTGTCCCTGTTCTGTTTTCAGGGTGACTCTGGTGGCCCCGTGGTGTGCAACGGTGAGCTGCAGGGAGTGGTGTCCTGGGGCTATGGCTGCGCCGAGAGGGACCACCCTGGAGTCTACGCCAAGGTACAGTCCTGCATCCTGCGTCCTGCTGTGAGCTGTGTGCTGCTGTGGCCCTTTATCTAACTGTGTGTCTCTGTGCAGGTCTGCATCTTCAACGACTGGCTGGAGAGGACCATGGCCAACAATTAAACTGCTCACACATCCAAAGTGTGAAGTCTATTGACATGTATCATCCCTGTCAATAAAAATGTGAAATTAGTTTCTGTTTCTCCTCATTAATATTGTAGTTAGTTGAATAATTAATAGATAGCAGTTACCAATATATCACAAAATTGAAGTTATAAATGACATACAAACAAAAATAATATTTTGGAATTTGAACATATGTAATTAAATTCATCCTTAATACTCTATCATTGGCCAATGACTGCAGTGTGAAGGAGTACACCTTACACTGCATCAAGGCCAGAAAGTCTATTATCTATATGTCTACATACCTATACACAGGACTATCAAAACTCTCTTACTTACAAATATTCAGCAACTTAAATGAACATTTTTACTGACCATTTTTGGCTTTTTAAAATCAAAATATGTAACCTTAATAATGTGAAAAGTCAACAGCATGATTTCATGAAAATAGAAAGCTAAACATTCTCCATGAAGATAAATGGTTAAAGTTTTTTGCCATACTATGGCATATTATAGCCAAAAAAAAAACAAAAAAAACACAACACTTCCATGGAAATAAGCAGGAGGAGGCCCTCCTTCAGGCCAAGCAAAAGTAAGAATTCTGAAGCTACAAGCCCACTCAGATTAAGGATGCATGTTTTTCTATGAAAATCCCACCCATCATGAAAAAACATGCTTTAATTTTAGTTAATCACATTACTATACAGCACAAAATATCATGGAATCCCTGCTGCTCCTTTTGCTCATTGAGCTTTCTAAAGTAAACACACAATGATGTATTTCAAATGTAGATGATGTTAAGATAGCTTATAGAATACAACAACAGTATTCATCTGTGGGAGCTGGAATCACACCATCCAACCTGTGGGTCTGTGGATTTGAGCGCCCAACCTGTGATGTTTTTTTTTTTTTTTTTTTTTTTGTTTTTTTTATGTTGAGAGCTGGAATCTACGACGGAGTATAAGGGTCAGATTAAAAAAAAAAAAAAAAAACATGCTGGCGCTACGAGAATAAAGTCGTAACATTTTGACATTAAAGTCGTAATATTATGAGAATAAAGTCGAAGCCAGAAAAAGTCGTAATTTTACGAGAATAAAGTCGTAAACTTACAAGAATAAAGTAGTAATTTTATGAGAATAAAGTCGTAGTCAAAATAAAGTCATAATATTACGAGAATATCGGCTGCTCGGAAAGTATGAACGCGTGGAGAATGGAGAATTTGGAGCATTTTCTAAAGGAGAAAAATCCGTGTATCATTCGTTCATTCGACTGAAAAAGGACTGAATCAGAACTAAATCAAGTCTGGAACCAAACCAGAAAGACCAGGATTGAGACCGGGACCAGACCAGGACTGAAAACGGTTTAATCCTAGTTTAGTCCTGTTTTAAGTCACGGAAATGGGAAATGGCGTTTACGTGACTTTAAAATGCGATGCGGGACTATTGCGCCGCATACGGACTGAACCAAGGCTGAACCAGGACTAAACCGTTTTCAGTTCTTGTCTGATCCCGGTCTCAGTCTTGGTCCCTGACTCAGTCCTTGTCTAAGTTCTGGTCTCAGTCCCGGTCTGGTCTCGGACCTCGTTTAGTCCTGGTTTAGTCCTGGTTCAGTCCGGAGGCGCAAATAATGAAGAAAATTGTTGTTCGTTTTCTTATTTTTAGTTTTATATTGAAAAACAAGGTTCTTCTTCTGCCGCATTTTTCACTTTGATTTTGATTTTATTACTTCATTCTCGTAATATTATAACTTTATTCTCATAATATTACGACTTTATTTCAACTTCGACTTTATTCTCGTAAAATTACGACTTTTTCTGGCTTCGATTTTATTCTCATAATAATACGACTTTAATGTCGAAATGTTACTACCTTATTCTCGTAGCGCCAGCATTTTTATTTATTTTTTAAATCTGATCCTTATACTCCGCCGAAGGAATCGAACCGCCAACCTTCAGATCAGTGGGCGAATGCTCTACCAACTGAGGTACGGCCACCCGTAGTGTCCCTTTCTAAATACCAATGACTGAGGCACTCAGTAGGCTACACACTGTAAGTGAGGGACAAACATTTTTTGTAAAAAAAACAACAACAAAAACAACAAAACAACAACAACAACAAAACAACAACAACAACAAAAATCCATATTTTTTTCATTGATGCCTCTGCCCTAGCCCACCAGCTGTGTTGTTAGTGTGTTTTGATCTACTTTTAGTCTTGATAACTATTTACTCATGTACAGCTAATGGTAGTGACCTCCTGCAATTGTGTCTGAGGAGGTAAGTGAGAAGAGGCAGGCAGCAAAATTCTCAATTCCATAGTGAGTGCAGGATATCAGAGAGACAACCGAGACAGTGTATATTTTTCAGCTGTGGAGAACAGACAATAAACTTACTTATCCTGTGGCCTCTGGGTGACTCTGGTGGTGGTGGTGGTGGGGAATAGAGTGTGCACGGAAAATAATTCCTTGTGTTTATGTCAAAAATAAAGAAATAAAGTAATTAAAAAAACTAAACAAAAACAAAACTAAACAAAAAAACTATTAGCCTACTTCTTAGGAGCTGATCCGCAGAGGGACCAAACAACACCTAATGTTATTTATTCATATAGGCCTAGGCCTACAAAATAGTAATTACAATTTATTACGATATTATTCAATACTATTTTATTTTTTATTTCCTTTCATAGAATTTTTACATCAATGATGCGTGCATTTACTATTCACAAAATCTACAATCCCTCTATAAAACCGAAAATCAGTATGGTCTTTATCTACGGCCTCAATCATTGACTGTATGCGTAATGCGGAACCTTGTCCATATTTAGTACCTATCCGGACGCATTTGACAACGCACTGTTGCTGTCAAGTTGGCTACAGCTAGCCTAGTTGACTCCCTTGACCTAGACGATTTAGTACTTTTACGTATTTTTCACCGTAAAAGACAATGGCTTACAGTAACTAGTAAGTCAATGTAAATACCTGATTTGTTGTGCGTACATAGATTTACTTTTTCGGCGGCAGAGGTTCGTGGAGGAACCGAGCGGTCAAGATGCGGCTCACGTTGCAAATGTTGATTTCTCATGGCCGGGTCGCCCGAAGAATGGGTTTGGGTCCTGAGTCTAGAATAAACATGCTGCGGAACATACTGACGGGACTAGTCCGATACGAGAGGATAGAGACCACCCGTGCCCGGGCAGACGAGGTCCGATTTTATGCAGAGAAGGTGAGCCTCGTGTCGGTGCCATTTAGAGCAGGTAACTCTGGGGCTCAAATACTGTGGAATTTGCGATTTACAGTATTTGATGATAAAATCACAAAATCAAGGGCAATTTTTTTTTGTCGTGGGATGGACAATATGCCAAAAAAAAAAAAAAAAAATTGTAAATGTAAGAATTTTCATAGACCCAGTTCACGATTTTATCACAATTTGTTGATGATGCATCTGAGAGTTCAAACTTTGCTATGATTGTTATATCAACTTGTCACTCACTCATAACTGACCAATGGGGGAGTGGGTGGGGAAATGTCTGAAGAGGGAGGGGCCATACCAAGGTTTTATTTTTAATGTCATATTGCCCACAGATTGTAATGTAATTTAAGCTTTTATTTGCAGTAGAAAGGGCTGAAGATTTGCTTACTTATGTCAGTATTTTTAGTCATCAAGCCAGATATTTTTTTAAATACCTCCATACCTTGGATAGCTGCTCCACAAAGCTCGTCTGGTAATATTTTAGTTAAAAAGTATACACATATCAAATTTGTCACTTTCTAACCGCAGGAAATGTGACTTCATCAGCAATATCAAACCGAACGTGAGTTGCTTTGTTAAAAACATGGGTCAACAAAAGCATTTCAGAAGAAAAGTCTTCCAAAAAGATTTAAATTAAAAATTACAAAGTTGTGAAGATATGCAAAATGTTTTGTACTTAATTTTAACATTTATACTTGCAGCTTATTGATTATGCAAAGAAGGGAGACACGGATGAGAAAGCAATGAAGATGGCCAGTTTCTGGTTGACGGTACTGTCTGCAATAATTTATGATGTAGATAAGTCTTAAAGCATGAGAGTAATAATTCTGTTTATTATTTGTGTTCTGCACAGGAAAAGGATCTGGTCCCAAAGCTTTTCAAGGTTCTTGCTCCACGATTTGAAACTCAGACAAATGGCTATACACGGATGGCACGCTTGCCCAATAGGACAAATTTGGACCGAGCAAAGATGGCTGTGCTGGAGTACAAAGGAAACCCTTTCCCACCGCTGTATCCTGTGAAAAGACAGAATGAACTGACCCTGATAAATCAGCTGCTCAAAGGATACAGAGAGGACATGGCACAGCAGTTAGCCACCAAGGCTTAATTAAACCTCTGTCTCATAATGTTGAGTCAGTCATAAAGATCTAAGACTGATAGCAGAGCAGGTGATGCTGGAGCGCTCATAAAGCCTGAAAGTTTGAAAGAGAATTTGAAACTATGTTGAATATTACAGTATATTTTACTGTTTTTTGTTGTTTTTTTTTGTCTGTACAAAGTCAAACAAGCGTACTTATCCTGTCCTTGATCGGAATCTGAATTGGGTGGTTAAATCAGTAAATTATCAGGAAAAACACACTCATATATATACTTTACTAAAACATTTTTTTTTTATTTTGGCAAAAGTGTATATGTACAGAATATTCAGAATTGTCACTGAACACCATTAAAATGTATTTAAACAGTGCTTATGTGATGTGCTCTTAACCAGGTCACTCTGAGGAGCCTAAAAGCTGTGCTCTTTTTCTCATGCATACATCACCTTCTTCATGGCTCTTTTAAGTGTCCCGCTCCTGTCACTGGATGTCAGTATACACAAGGGTGAGGCAATGATGGTGTCAGTCCGCCTGTTTGTCATGTCAACTTTTGTCTTTCTTCAGTCATTTTATGGCAATTGTAACAGGCAACAGCAGACAAAATGGCTCACATGCCGTAAATAAATCGGACACATAACTAGAAAGAACAACTAGCACTTAATTCAAGTATCATTTGCTTTCACGGACTAGTACCTCAAACTACACTCTCACAAATGACACGCCACAGTCCTAACATCTTAGTACTCCAATTACATTATCATGGACAAATTGGAGGGCTTGCTTGCAGTTGATAGTAGTACAATGCTTCACCAACACGTGATTACATGCTGTCTGGTCAAGGTTAATCGTTTTGACTGATAATGGAGAAGGCTGGTGGAGATTCTTTTCATCTTTTGATCCTGACACTGTACAGCATTCTTCACATCATAGTAGCAAAACACCAGTCAATGAAGTTTTGCTGGTATTTACAATAGTGAGTGTGAGACACTACTAGTGATGTTAATACAGGTGTTAAAGCAGTCCTATAAGGTGACATCACAAAGAAACTGACTCAGACGAGGAACATTAAAGTGCTCCATGCAGGACAGACAGAATGTACAGAAGTGTAGCGGTCTTCACAGTCCATCTACAGCTGGATACAAGGGACTACAAATGGTCACTATTGCACATTTGAACATTCAGTTGTATAAAAAACTCAGTGTTTATGGAAATAGACAGCAGTGAAGAATTCCTATGAAAGAGGGATGGCGTCTAGACCAGTCAGCCTGTCCCAACCTTACAGTTCTTACAGTTAGAAAAGGATTTGGATTCTCTCCCAATAAAGCAGAGTTGTGTACTAGAATAGATTACCTTTGGGATCAAATATTTGTAATGAAATGGGATGGCTGGCAAGGTTAGCGTCATCCTATTTTTTATATAAGTATTTTAAATAAACATTTTTATTCTCCTATCTTTGTGCTGTATTGCATCAGTACATTCACTGTCTACATACCATAAATTATGAGCAGGCATAATCTGCACTCCAAAAATTAAAAAATACAATTATAACACTATCTCTATGGTTTATCGCAATAAAATCTGTTATCCTGTTAAAAATATATTGAAGCCTACTGTATGTATTTACAAAGTACCATTTCAATACAGACAATAAGCTATTATTGTATGGTCACAGGAATTACATGGACCCCTGTTTGGAGGGGATATACAATACAAACATGCGTGTTTTACTAGGAGTGTCCACAGCAAAGGTGACATCTTACATAAACATTTAATATATCAAAGAATTAAAAAAAAAAGTAAAACTAGCCAACAAAGGCATTTTAATTAAGAAGTCATTTAAAAAAAATCTTTGCTTTTTGTCAAAATCTGCCAAACAATGAGAATTTTATATATACAAGTAAAAATATGTTGATGGTCACAGCACCAACTGGAATTTAATGCAAAAAAAAAGAAAAAAAGAAAAAGAAAATCTCCAAATTTGAAAAAAAAAAAAAAAAAAAGAATAAAATCAAATCTATAGTGGCAGCTGGATCCATTTTGAGCTATTTACACAGTCTCCCAAGCACACTGCTGATGCCTCATGAATTTTTGAATGAGAAGTATTTCAGAATTTTGTTCATTTCCACTGGCTGCACTGCTATCGCTGGACTGCCCCGGCTACATCCACTTTGTCATCTTTTTCCCCTCTGTGCCTTTTACTGGTCAACATCAAATATTTATTGCTTCTTTATTCTTTAAAAAGCCCAGCGCTTCTATCTTGCGGCAATTCTGTTGCACTTCAGGTTTTGTCCAGTCACAGGTGAAGAAAAACTATTCTTCTTTTCCAATGATTTGTCTTCCTAAATCTATTTGGCTGTGTCTTAAAAAAACACAATAAAGTCTTTCTACCTTTTCCCATGCATTTCCCCAGTTCCCCAGTCTCACGTGTGTCTTATGCCTTGGTCCCAAAAGCTCCACCCCCTCCACCTTGCATGCTGAAGTATTCGGTGAAAGAAGGCAGGCGGGGGGGCAGCGGGGGGGAGTGTTGTGCGGTGGGCCGAGGGGGTATGGGGGGGGAGGCGGGGGCAGTATTGACGTCAGATCTGCTGCCGTGGTGATGATCTTCTGCTCGCTGTTCCTTGGTACTTCCTGTCCTTTGCGCGCCACCATCTCCTCAACTGTCCTCACTGGGTCCTGGAAACACATGTATGAAGGGATGATTTCTGTGAAGATTTCTTCTGATGCAAGCTACAACAATCGGAGAGGCAAATTTTTTACTTCAGCCTGGTTGTTTTAATATAGGTCAAAACTAAAGTCTAGAACCGTGGTAAAGCTTCAGGTGCTACTCAGGCTGCTATGCAATTCTAGTGTTAAAGGGCTCTATTGCGTCATTTCCTGATCTAACTTATGATGTTGTTTTCTCATCACAAACATACCTGAGGTTTTGCTTTGTTTCATCCACACAATCTTTACATATTTAGGCTGTGCTCCTCTCTCAAATGAAAAACACTCTGTTCCCCCTTGTGATGTCATGTGGTAATCCTGGAAGTGTTCCAGTGTTTTTAAGCTCCATACACCTACACTACACTAGAATCGTTTGGATGATTTCAACCCTGCCATTTTGAGCTCTGGAGATGTAGACAGACTAATGATACAGGATTACTCAGACAAGTGTGAATGAAACAAAGCACAACTCCAGGTATGTTTATGATGACACAAAAGCATTCTAACATGGCTAAAAGCTCACAGGAGTATTTTTTCCATTAATATAGGACTTTTAAGAGAATATGTTAATGATAACGGTTTTATTCATATGTTAAACCCAGAATAGTCCTGGTATAGACCTGGTTTGGATCCGGTGAAATCTGGAAACCTTTTTTTTTTTTTTCTTAAATTGTACTTAATGTGAAATGTTTGAAAGCCACTGTACAAGAAGTCAGTACATGGTTACCTGACAAGTGGAAGTGGTTAAATCAGGTTATGCATCAGTGACTTTAAATAATGTAAAAATGTTTGTTTGTGTTATCTGCAAATTCACTTCATGTTGGCTTTAAAAACATGATGCAGTGTATTATATTTAGCATCTAATTCAGTAAAAGCAATTAGCTAGGATTGTTCTAATTTAGTTATACTAGTTATACTAACTATACTATCCCACTTTCTGCTTTAACCTATATGTTGGCACTGCATAATGTTATTCCTCATATTTTTTCTCCTTGTCATTGAAATCACATTACATCAGCGCAATACCTGCATATAGCTTAAGCCACCACAATTTATTATTGTTCTGCATGACGGGCCTCAGATTTGAAAGTTCCCTTAGTTCAATACTTCATCCCAGGAAACACGACACCTTAATTTGCCCTTGTCAAACCTGCTATAATCATTATTTCTCACTGGCACTATGTTTTTCTTGTTGTGTTATGGCGTGTGGTGCTTATTGTCATTCAGCTGACATGCGGTGAGTGATGGAGGGTTCAGTTGAGAAATAGTCCCTTTAAACTCACTGGCTTACGACACACAGCCAGCTACATCTGCACATGGGCACATTTACACTCATGATCATTAGCAACATGCAGATACACACAAACGATCTCTGGTACTCACTGATTGAATGGAAAAGAGCTCTGTGAAGTTGGGCTGCGAATCGCCAAGGAAGGAGCTGTTCCCGTAGGCGTGATGGGGGAAACTCTCGGCGCCTTCTCCCGCTTTTGGACTGGACAGCAGGATTCCGATTTGGGATGTCCGCACGTGGTATGGGAAGTTCTTGTTGGCTGCTGATGGACGGGTTATGATCTTAAACACAAGACAATACAGCAGTTTAGAAATTGTAAACAACATATGTGTGTAATAATGAGTCAAGCTGACCGCAGTTTTAGCCTTAAAGGTGCACTATGTAACTTTCTAGAAGGGATCCACTACCATGAAATGTTACTGCTTTGTCTGGAATGTTCCTCACTATGTCATTAAATGTAACCACCTTGTATTTAATCAATTACAGGCGTATTTTTGCTGAGAAAGATGCCTTGAAACACATGTATTCTTAATATCATTGGGGTCGCAGCTCCACAGATCTAACTTGTAATTTAGCCTAGCGGCATCACCTGCTTGTTTCTATGACGATAGATATGTTTAAGGTCATAATGTGGAGCATTTAAGGCAAAGCACTAGCATTCTGGACCTTCCACCAGAAAAGTTACCAAGCACACTTTTAAATTAGCCTTACATACTGATATTTAGACATTTTTGCATTTACATTAGTTACGTTTTATGTTATGCTTAACAAAATACATTAACAAAAAAATTACTACAATTGATAGTTGTATTTGTTCAAAAGCAGTCTAAATTTTGAAAAAAAAAATTTAAATTTTACTGACAAATTTGGATAATTATGTATTGTATAGTAAATGTACTAATAATGTCTGTTACATATATTCATTGCATGTCCTTAGAAGTATCCTCATCAATCACAGACACTTTTAAAGTACAATTGAACCTTATAATATCTCTAATAACTCTCATTGTTTGTTATGAAGTGGCCTCAAGATACTGCATGAATTTGTGTTCTAATACCTGTTATATAACCCTATCTTTATGCATTCTAAATATTATATACAGGAGGAACTTCGAAGAGAATTATGTGAGGTGGATTTCTACAGCTTTACATTTAGCAATGCACAAGTGAGAAGTGAGGATTTAAAGCCTGAAATGATAACTGAATATAAAAGAGTTTGCAGGAACAGAATAGGCCATTAGTGAAGAACAATGTGTCGGAGGTGAGGAAGAGCTGGATAATGATGTGAAGAGGCGACAATCAGCACTGTGGAGTTAAAGCTCAAGGATGGTGAATAATGAATGACTGACAGCGCCAATAATGGCCCTTGAATAATACAGAGGTGGTAGGTAGAATATGTATGTTTAAATGCGTGTGTGCCCGGGGTACGAACAAGGAAGACGATATGGGCGTAGAGGTGGATGCCCAGCTGAATGCCATTGACGATTTTCTCCCTGGCCCATCGCGGGATGCCAAAGTTAGCGATCAGCGCCATCACCGGTACAGCAAAGAACCTGAAGACAGAGACAGAGGTAGCGAGATTTAGAATGAGAGCAGGTGGACTGTACATTAAAGGTGCACTATGTAACTTTTCTGATGGAGGGTTTGTCACCAGCTTGTCTGCACTTAAATATTATAGTGCTTTGCCTGCAATGTTCCACAATATGGCATCTGTCTCCATGGAGACATGTAGTTTGCAGCCAGATTTAGAATGAGAGCAGGTGGAAAGTAAAGGTGTACTGTGTAACTTTTCTGACAAAGGGTCTGTCACCAGCTTGTCTGCACTGAAATATTAAAATTGCCCTTTGCCTACATTGCTTCCCAATATGGCTTTCTACTTATCTATGCCCATGGAGCTAGATTTAGGATGAGAGCAGGTGGAAGGTGCATTAAAGGTGCACTATGTTACTTTACTGAAGGAGGGTCTGCCACCAGCTTGTCTGGATTGAAATATTATAGAGCTTTGCTGGCAATGTTCCACAATATGGCATCTATCTCCATGGAGACAAGCAGTTTGCAGCTAGATTTAGAATGAGAGCAGGTGGAAGGTGCATTAAAGGTGCACTATGTTACTTTACTGATTGAGAATCTGCCACCAGCTTGTCTGCACTGAAATATTATTGTGTTTTGCCTGCAATGTTCCACAATATTGCATTATACTTTTTTATACTCTATTTCCATGACAAGCAGTTTGCAAGACTAGATCAAGTAAGTTACAGGTTGAATTAAGTTTTCAAGCCTATTTCTAAGCAATAAAAACACCTGTAATTGAACCAATACAATATAAATATGTTAAATGCCTTAGTGTGAAACATTCTAAGCAAATTAATAACATTTCCACGGAGACAAGCAAGTGGAGGATGCCTTACCAGAAAAAAAACTAAACAAAAAAACAATTACATAGTTCACATTTAATCACATAACAAAGAAAATGCAAGAAACCACATCAAAGTATCGTAGATAGTGATCCAAGAGATTGTGGCTAAACATAAAGTTAGCACTAGTCTTTGTAATCTTGCCTTCTATTTGCTTTTTGATGGGTACGGATCAAGCAAGTGTATAGAACTGTGAAGAAGATTGTTCCCAGACCGAAGATGAAAATGATTTCTTCACAGCTTCAATTTACAATACATATAAATTATTCTGTTAGAAGAGGGCTCATTTGTGGCATGGAAATAAACCCAGCTAGGAAGGATTCACTGAAATGCAATTATCAAATAGATGTTGTACTAAAAGCAGAAAGACACTTAAATTAGAATTGGTGGTTTCAGCTAACATCACAACATTCTATAGGCCAATATTATTTAATACAGATGGGGGGCAGCTAAAATAAATATAGCTAAAATGCAGATTTTTCTTATAATACAGTGAGTTCTTGGGCCTAGTCATTAATGGGAATAATCAGGTTAAACATTTGTGCAATTACCTTTTGGAGATGTCATGGTAAAATACAATGTAATCAATAGGAGACCAATAACGCCGCAGTCCATCCAATGCAGCAGCATAAATAATTCAAAACACACCGCCCTCTTTATGCATATATACTGACGGTGATCTGTTAATATTAATAGGTGTTACCATAGTGTGTAGGTGGTGAAGAAGGGCACATAGAAGGGCTGTTTCTCGGGGTAGTGCTTGAGTGAGACCAGAACCGCATAACAGAACCACACGTAGGCCAGCAGCTGCAGACCCATCAGGCCATATCCCGCCGGGCTGTCGTAGGCGTACAGCACCTCTCCTGGGTCAAAGAACTGGGACACAGAAACTTATGTTAGGGATGGCAAGGTAAAAGTCTAATTTGTATGTAGAAATGTTGCTACATACAATAAAATATAAGGATACTTTAAAATGAAATATTTAAAGGTGCATTGTGTAAATTTTGGAGGGTCCATCAATGCCTTTCTCCATGGAGATGCTAGTGCTTCCTCTGGAATGTTTCATAGTGTGATATTAAACTTTTCAATCTTCATGGAGACCAAACAAGGTCAAGTTACAGGTCAGATAGGGATGGAGAGGCAACAATGCTCACAGTCACAATGCCTGTTTTTATAGGGACTTTTGAGCAGGAAAACCACCTGTAAATGAATATATGTAAGGTAGAGCTGTTTAATGTCATACTGTGGAACATTCCAGGCAGAGCTATGACATATCCAAAGAAGCAAGCAGGTGACAGACCCCCAACCAAAAAAGTTACATAGTGCACCTTTAATGTAATAAATTTCTCAAATCCATGACAATACTGCAGGACAACAACAAAACAAGTATGATAAAAGGTCACACTGCATTTGAAATCTGTGTTAAATTCTACATTGCATAATGACTTAAGTCATGAAGTAAAAAAAAAAAAAAAAAAAGTAAACAAACAAGTATACAGAAAAAAAAATAGTAAAACGAAATACAATACAAAAAAAGACATTATTATGTCACAAAACAATACTACATTTAATATGTAGAATTTAGTATATTGTGTAACTTATTTTGCTCTAAGTAAATACTTGTCTGCTGATCAATGTACATAAGCAACTACATCATTTTAAAACTTTGTAATGAATAGGGGTGGGTTAACAAGTTTTTCTTCTTGCCACTCTTTTTCAAGAAATGTGCTTTTCTATTGTTTCTATTGTACCATTCAATCAATGACACTTTTGGGCCCGAGGATCATCAAAAACATCCAATATCCAGTGAAAAAATATGCATTTACAAAGTGAATAGTTTTTTACTGCCTGAAAATCACCAAATAAAAATGTACCATAGTGGAATACAGTTACTTTCCTAAAATCAAAGGAATATATTGTGGCCCTTGATAATGTAACTTAGGCTTTGAACTGCACAACATTAGTAACACAAGAAGAAAACACAGCTCCTGTGGTGAGAGCATGTGTGATTTTTCCTTTGATGATAAAGACATGCATAAACAAACAATGTGACAAACAGCGCTGGTCTGATCCTATGTTGTGTTTCCACTTTACACTATAATATCATGCAATCTAATGTGAAAGTATTCAAAGTATTCCGAATACAGTACTCTGACTGGACCATGTATTGGTATAAAATAAATTTTTGTCCAAAAAAAAAAAAAACTAAATATATTTGAAGTACATTCAAAGTTACCTACTCACTGCCACTATCAATATTTAGCAGGATATATGACTAAAGATAGTTGTAGACACATATTAGCAAAGCCTTAATCTTGAGTGGAGTCTCATATCTCAACTCTCTGATTTCAAAATGACTTCTCAACATTAAATGAATGGGTCATATCTACAGCTCAACATATTCTATTTACTGAGTGTATCTAACAACACTTCACTGAGTAGCACATCGTTTTTGCTTGTCAGTACATTGTACCCCTATAATTAGTAATTACAGATTTTTGTTCACATAATTGGTTCTAATAGTTGAACCAGTTTGTTGCCTACACTGTCATACAGTTATTCAACATTAGTATTCACAATACGTATTCTCAGTACATATATTCAGTTACTTCCCAACACTGCCTGTAACTAAATACATTATAAATACAGTATTCTTCCCATCACTGCATATTTGACATCGAAACTTATCCGCAACTAGGTCACAGTTGAGCTCATGCCTGTGTGTGTTTCCATATGGACACCAGAGCCCTGAGACTGGACTGCACTGGCCGGACTGGGTTACCCTCTGTGCATAATGCATCATGCAGGTCTGGTGGCTAACACGCAAAACTTCTTAAGATCCATCCAACCACAGCCAGTTCGCAGCCATCTGCACACCCAGGACATGTCTTCATTTCAAATACTAACCCACTTTGGCGTATTTTTAGCACGTCTCCCCTGAGTTGGAGCTCTTTAACAGAGAGGACCATGTAGTGGGGCAGCAGGCAGATGAATTACACAGCTTCAGATGGGTGTATTGTGGAGTGAGAGACAACTATAGGCCCTGGTGGTAAATATAGCAATAATTCCTCTGAAGTATTCCCCATTGGTCATTACCATCCTGTATTCAAAGTCTTTAATCCACTAGCCCTAAGAGCATTTTCATCTCAACTCACTGAATATGCATAGACATATAGATATGGTATGTAATTTATTCATGAGCTCAGTAAGTAGACAAGGTATATCTATCAACAACCTTACACTGAATTTCAATACAAAAATCTCTCATTAAGGTGCACTGTGAAAGAACTTCCATTTTTTGGATTGGGGGACCAACATCTGCTTGTTTCTATGAATAAGTTGTTGCTCTGTGTGGAATGTTCCACAGTATGACATTAGGCATTTCTACCTCACATTTATTAAATCACAGTTTGTTTTATAGCTCAAAAATACCTAAAAAAAAACCCAAAAAAACATGCATCCTGACTGTGAGTTGAATTGCCTCTCCACCGATCTGACCTGTAACTTGGCCTGGTTTGGTCCCCATGAAAATAGAAGGTTCAATACGATACTGTGAAACATTTCAGACAAAGCAATAACATCTCCTTGGAGAAAAGCATTTGATGGGCCCTCAACCAGAAATGTTACTCAGTGCACCTTTACATATAACATTCGTAACCACGCCAGTTGGTTTGTTTAACTGTATTTAATTATGGGAATACACAATAGCAATAAAACTTATCAAGGACTTTTCTTGACTCTCTGTGATCAGTTTCAAATCTATTCATGATTATGGCTTGAGTGTAATGAGTGATTTGACAGTGAAAGCCATTACAGCCCACGCCGATCTGTGGGCTCCCGTCTGTATAAATATTCATGAGATTATTTTAGAAACTCGAAATGCAGTACAAAGACTGCGGATACTGAAGTACGCCAGAACTTCAATGATTCTGGTGTTGTAGTTGCTTAGGGATTTGCTTTTATTTGTACAGGGACAGTGCACAACAATACACTGACCAAGATAAAGTCATAGGAGAGACATGGGTGCCAAGCTATAGCGTGAATGCAACTTTACACCTGGAAGGGAAGGTGTCTTTTTCCATTCTGGACAAAATAGCTGGGTTGACCCTGGCACTGCAAATTTGATTTAAAGATGCACTGAGTAACTATCTATCACAATTAAGACAAACAAGAGACAGCACTACGCTACATTACAATTCAGATCTGTGGAGAGTCACCCCTATTCAGGAATTATTGCATTTTTGTGCAATAGGAACAACCATAATGAATAAATGCTAAGCGATAACAAAGTGATAAAGCGGTAACATCTCTAAGGAGACAAGCAGGTAGCGGACCATACACCAGAAAGGTTGCTCTGTGCACCTTTAAAGAAGAGAGTTTGTCCTTTTGTCTGCACACTAGTAATCATTACACTACAATATGGACATTTTAAATCACAATATTGATCTAAAATGACTTAATAAAAGAAACAAGTCTGCTCCAATGTGAGTCAACATTGCCGTAAATGTCATCATAACAAAGAGTGGGAAAAGCTGTCAGCACCACCTTGGATAGATACTGATCAAGCAGATTCTTTCAGATTTCTTTTTTTTCCCCCCTTTTTACCAATATGACCACACAATGCTGCCAAATCCTAAAAGTATCACCCATTAAGAAAATTTAAACTGTAGAGCAATGTAAGTATAGAGCAGTGTGCATGTACCAGTGATGATGAAAATGAAATTGAGTGGAGCATTTTGAAAACAGGAATATAAAGATTACTCAAGCATGCATGAACAACTTGAAATACAACTTTAAAAGGGTCAGTGAGAAGAGCAAACAACTATAAAATGATTAAAATAAAGTAAAAGAGATCATGCATAATAGGTCCACTTTAAAGTACTACGTGATGCTTTTACTATTTCTGAATAAAAATGTATATTAATGAAAAAGAAAATGCATAAAGTGCTCCTCAAATATTTGTCCAGACAATGGGGAGACTGTTGTGCAAATCCCAGTCCTATTTAAATAGATATTAGAAGTGAAGTTATCTTATGTCATTGAGATGGATAATGGTTGTTTTAGCAAGCCAGGATTTTAAGAGTGCTTGTAATGAAGGAGGCCATGGTGTCCTTGGTAAAAATCTATTCAGCGTTGAGGTCTTGAAACCAAATGATGTTTCGGTAAAATCAGTAGATTTAATATTAAGTGAGCCGGTTGGGACGAACAGTTGTATTTTTAAAATGTATTTATTTATTTTGTAGTCTTAAAATGTATTTATTTATATGATAGAATACTAAATACCTCCTTTAACATGTATTTTGTAGCGTATTCCAATACATGGTCCAAACAGAGTACTACATTCTGAATATTTAGACTCGAGTTTCAGATTGAACTGCATTATGTTGTTTTAAAATTTTGCTCATTCATTGCGTGCAGCTTGAAGCCTCATTTGTGTGATCAAATACCCCAGTAACTATAATGTGAATACCATCAAATGAAGGGTGAACGTATCAGAATATAATCACTTAAAAGTGTACTGTGTAAAATTTTAGGTGGGGATCCGTCAAATGCTTGCCTCCATGGAGATGTTATTGTTCTGCCGGAAATGTTTCACAGTATGTTATTAAACTTTTTTATCTTTATGGTATTTACTTCCCAACACTCATCATAGAATACAGATTAGAGAGTTGGTGTTGCCTTGTACCTCTGCTTCATAGATGAACAGTATAACGTAAGTGATGGTGTAGACCGTCATGTAGATACTCAACTTGACCGAGCCGCTGTGGCTGATCCTCGCCCTGAAAAACAAAAGGTCAGAGGTCACACATTTATATTACAAACATTACTTTCATAAAGTTTGGAAAAGGATGGCCTGTTGTAGTCCCTTTTGTGCTATAAAAATATAATACACTTTAGGACAGGCTTGACTGCACTCTCCAAAGTGGAACAAATGAAAATGAATGCGTCTACTTTCACACCGCACTTGTCATGGGGCTTTCAGTGTCAAGCCTTCATCTGAATTTCCTTCATCTTTTGCCACTGACTAATTCAGCATCACACCCAGAGCAACTAATCAAAGTCTTTGGGGGTATTTATCACTGAACTGTCAACATATCAGTTAAAGTGCCACTGCCGCAGTCTGTGTTCAATGCAGTTTGAAGATGAGTCATTTTGTGTAGGGGGTCACAGAATCTACCCAAGCCCGAGGAGGGGTAAACCTGCTTCTATTACGCTATTCTGATCTATGTTATAATGTTGTTTCATCATCACAAACATGCCTGGAGTTGTGTTTTGTTTCATTCACATACAAACCCTGCACAATTAGGTTGAGTTCTCCTCTCAAACACTCTGTTCCACCTTGTGATGTCATGTTGTAAAATAGAAATTGCTCCATTGTGTTTTTAAACTCCATACACCTTCACTTGAATCATTTGGAGAATTTGAGCCAACCTTGACTGAACAAAAGGTAAAAGGTAGCTGTTAAATTGAAAACTACAACTTCATGATATCATAAGGTGGAACAGAGCATTTTGAGTTTTGGAGATGTACACAATAACAAACATGTGTGAATGAAACTGAATACAACTCCAGGTATGTCTTTGAAGAGGTAACACCTTTATAACATGGCTCACAAGAGTCAATTTTTAAGTGTTTTTTTATTTGTTTGTTGTTGTTTTTTTTGTAAAAGGTGGATGATTTAACAATCTAAATGTAAGCCCAGTCCTTATTTCAAGAATTAGATGATGATGACTCAACACCATTCATGCAGAAAAACCAAAAAGGGTCTAGGAATTTTGACATTTTGAAGATTTCACTTGATGAAGACAAATGACCTTGAATTATTCACCCTGAATTTTGTGAAATGTTTGAAAAAGCTCAGTAATGAAAATGATTTTGTTGTGTGAGGGCCCAAAATTATACTCATCATCTTATCAGGGATTTTAAAATCTACACCAAAGATATTGTTGCAGTTTCAGTTGCTTCCATAGACTGTAAAGAAGTGTGACAGGAGTGTCACCTATAGGGTTCAGGAGCAGATACAGGAGCAAATTTGGAAACAAGTTCCATATTACATATTACAGACAAAATAGCAAAATAAAAACACTAGGATCATGTAAAGGGTTAATACGAACATTTTAAGACCAAAATGAAGAGCCTTTCAGTAGCAGTTACGAAGAGGGGCGACGTTTTTCAATACAAAGTGAATTGAAGGCAGAGTCGATGGAGTGACTGGATTTTGAAGTGGATACTTATTACTGTCACTACATCTGAGAGCAGGTATCTGTTCTTTCTACTTCACTACATTTTTGAACTGGACTGAAAAGTAAAAGTATTTTTCATTATTGTTTGAGCCCTACTAGAAAAAATACTTGACTTTTTACCCTTTCAGTACATTTTAATGGGTACTTACTTTTACTTAAGTAGATTTGTTCAAGTGATACTTTTACTTGAGTTTTTTATTTTTTTTGTTCTGATTGAGTACTTCTTCCACCACTGCCTGTTATTTCTGAGAACTGTTTGAAGGAGGGAGAGTCAGTGACCATCAGGCGGTCAGGGCAGTGGTCCAGTCAGGTGGAGGACATGTACAGGCTGATGGTCCAGAGTGAGACGGCCTTCATAAATCATCTATTGTGCGGTCTATCTTGAATAATGTCGGCTCAACCTTGCCAAAAAGCAGTGGCTCACTAATGTCTTCTGAGATAGCAGTGCAGACGGGAAGTGACTGCAAAAAATAACTAGACTAGAATATTAGAGAGGTTTTCAGATTAAATTTGTTTTGACTCATTTAGATTTATTCTGTTTGTTACTGTCTACATTTTGGACATCAAGATATTTTTCTTTTCTCATTTTTCAGAAAAGTAAGTGGAGTTAAAAAAATGCTTAGGTGCATAATGAAAGTTTTAGGAGTAGAGGTTGTCTCAAGGGTGATGTTATTGCTTTATCTGAACTTATCTTGTACTTATCTCCATGGAAACAAGATCACCAGGTCAATTTAGAGGCCAGATATGTGGAGTGACGATCCTGCTCATAGTAAGAATGTATGTTTTTCACGGTGCAATAAGAGCACGTGTAATTGAATAAATGAATGCTACATAAGGTTAATGCCATAATATGCAACATTCTTGACAAAGCAGTCACATCTCATTGAAATCCAAATATGATAAAAATCATACAAATAAAATGTATCTAATTCAAATCAATATTAATATCAGGCACCCAATATAGACACCCTCCTAAAATAATGGCCTATGTCATTTTTTCACATTTTTCAGGAAGCACAAAAAACTGTACAAATTGAAAGTGAATGTGATAATGTTTTCATACAGAAATATTAAACAAAAAATATAGATGAGAAATTATATACTAACACTTAAGTCAGTCAACTGTGTAACACAAAACCACAAAAATGACTTAGGCCAATGACTTTTTCTGAACATGGCCTTGTAACTTGAATCATTTTAAACATGACTTAGCCTTATTTTCTATGGCACATGTGACACAAAATTAGGTTAAACTGGGTTAGTTTATTTGCCATTTGTAGTTTAAAAAAAACACACTAGTTGAAATTTGTACCAGAGGTGGATGGCCTCACAGAGCTCTGATGGAACTCATATTTGCAAAAAAGAATGTCATTAGATCATTATTTTAGGAGGTTGTTGAAATGTATATTATTTTAACTTATTTTAAAGGTGCATTGTGTAACATTTCTGGTAAAGGGTCCCTCAAATACTTTTCTCCATGAACATGTTATTGCTTTTACTGGAATTATTCACAGTATGGCATTAAACCTTTCTATCTTCATGGAGACCAAACCAGACCACGTTTGAGCTGTAATTTAATAAATAAAAAATAAATGTAAGGAAGAGCAGTTTAATATCATACTGTGGAACATTCCAGGCAGAGCAAAGTCATATCCATAGAAACAAGCAGATGACGGACTCTAAACCAAAAAGTTACATAGTGCACCTTGCACAGTGTATTATTTTTACACCAATAAACCAGTATCAAAGCCTCTGTAGGTGTCTAAATAACCGTGTGATTCTACCTATCACAGATCAGGTGTAAAGGCTCGTCGCTGACAGTGCTCACAGTGACATTTTGAGTGACGCTAACATTGTCATACAGTGAGATAGTGTTACGGAGATGACGGCGAGGGACTGACGGTGACAGCCCTAATGTAAACACACCGACGCAATGTGACAGCAGCCTTCAGCCCTACAGACATGATGTAGAGAGACAGACAAAGCAGAAGGACCGAAATAGGAGCGTGAAGATCAGAGAGAATATGAGGACAAATGACTGCTGTCCTGTTTTGGGGTCATGTGTTATTTTTTTGTTTGTTTATTATTTAAAGTTTTTATAATTGTATGGTATATTTTATACTACAGTCAAAGTAAGATTACAATGCATAAGTACATTTTGAGAAAGCAGTAGTGCCAAATAAATGTATCACTAAAAGTAGGCCTACACAAATTGTTTCACATGACACCTACTGGATTATCTGAATAGATTTGACACTAAAATCTCTTTTAAAATCTTGTATCTGAATGCTACGTGCATGAAATTGTAATGACTGACTACAAAAAATACAGTGTTCTACAAAAATAAGACAACAGATCAAGGAGGCTCTTAAGGGTGCAATAGCATGCAAAATTGTCTCCTGTGAGCTTAAAACCATGTTAGAACGTTATTGCCTCGTCAAAAACACACTTGGAGTTTGAATAACACTGCAATATTAGTCTGCCCACATCTCCAATCAATTGGATCAATCCAATGAAAGTTTTTATAATTAATTGGAAAGTAAGATCTTAATCTCAAGAGCAGTGGTTTGGCGGAATGAGCTATGATAATTAAGCCAATATTGGAGAGTCCTTTTCACAAATCATCTATGAAAACAAAATCTTTACTTGGTGTCAGATTGCAATCTATCCATTTTGATTTGGTAGGCTTGTCTTGAGAAAACATTGTAACTACAATGGCACCCTAAGGCAGATTCCGCCTCAAAAAACAATTCTATATGTACAGTGCTGCTAATGAGCATGAGCTGCAATAAATAAATCACTAATAAATAAAACACTTGAGTCATTAGTTATTTGTTCAACTCTCTAAAGCTCAAATCTTACCATAACAAAATATATCCTAGTAGTAAAAAGAAAATCTACTCATGATAAATATTGGCCCCGAGATCACAGCGCAAAGCTGAATCTCTCCGATAATTGACCACTCCACGACATATGTATATCTTAATGTGGGATGTCTGAAGCTGGCAATTATCATGTCCTTCGTAGAGTGTGAGAAGGTCAATGTGTCCAACCATCGCTCTGCACAGCATGCACACCCACATCGTGAGCTCAGACTCTCCTCATATGAAACTCAATCACACACTGAGAGTTTGAGAATGATCTGGAATGCTTTAAAATAGTATAAACCCATCTTAAAGTGCTTCAATGTATGACTGTATGTGAGAGATATGATATTCAAATGTGTTTTGTAACTGTTACTTATCATTTAAAGTAATTAGAACAGCTTTGTAAAAATACAAGTTTAATATTATGAGACATTTTGGGCCAGCATTGGTGAATAATCATCAGTCATCTTTTTTCACCAATTTATAGACCAAAATGGGATATCAGAGAAACTGATATCTTGGAAACCAATACCCAATCCACCAACAGTTTCAACATCTGTGCCGATATCCAATACTAGTATCATATCAGTGCATCCCTAGTAACTACTACTATTCAAGAATATAAAATTTGTTACTACTCCTATTACTACTACTGCTGTAACTACTACAGTCTAGCATCCATTTAACACCACACTCCACTCCTTCATTACTATGCATGATGTGCTACATAGAGTTTTATGGACATCTTACCTGGTGACAGTGAAGCCTTTACCCAGCAGGATCAGCATGAGGAGAAAGAGCAGGAAACTGACAGAGAAAAGTAATTTCCCTGGAGTCCGACAAAGATAATCAAAAAGACAAAAAAAAAAAAAGTAATTAGCCCACCGTTTTCAGAATCTGCACTATCATAACGGCTAAGATAAAAATGGGGGTCATTGCGCACACAAATTCATGCATGGGCTGTCAAAATGGCTATTACGTTTCCCCATCCATCTTCAGCTGCTCATTCACTGCGTTTTGGCATTGAGTGATTATTGCAGGAGCGGTGTCAGTCAGGCGGTCGGTGGGTCGGTGATATGCGGAGAAACTTACCGAGTAATTTGAGGCTGCCTTTGCCAACTCCATCACGCCCGTACAGGCCCCAGTAGACACAATGGAACAGCAGGCTGAGCACTGGCAGAGCAGTAGCACAGCCAAGGGGAGGAAAGAGGGAGAGGGGGAGAGAGTGACAGTCAAAAGGTATGGAGGTGGGAGGGTGAGGTGGGACAATACAATAGAGAGATTGTGTTATTACAAAACAGAATTAAGCAAAATAAACTCTACTCTAGTATACATTGAGTTTTGACATTTAAATTAAGATGAGAATGAAGTTATAGAGTAAACTTGGAAATATACACCAAACTATATCTACTGTGTTTTAATACTACTATTCTTAGCCTCTTTTTGCATTTTTAGTAGTGTGTTCTGCCTCCAATGGCCGGAACAATTTCAAGTACTATGTGACATCACACAGTACTGCTTGAATGAAAGAAAGGTGTTGCCGATTACAAATACCATGCCTGGCTGCAGGGGCAGAGTTTGAAATGTGAATATGTGTTAGACCAATCACAATGTTCCTTAAACCTCCAAACCCCACTCCTCCTCCTCCTCCCCCTCACTACTTTCTTTACTCCTCCAGGTACTGCCCAGTTTAGCAGCTCTGTTTGAAATGTGGTTGTGGCTCCTCAACAACCACATTTAGGTGTTTGCTCCCACTTTATGTAGTGAAATAAAAACTTCAGCCTAGACACTTTCGGTTACAGTTCTAGTGGAATTGTGGTATAGTTGCAAGAAACTGGAAAACTGAACCAAAAACTACTCAAATTATTACCACAACTATACGCGACTAACACACCTAGGCTATTACAACTACTACTACAACAACTAGAATTTCAGATACTCTAAATTAGGCATGATTAGCGTTAATGATTTTGCATAACCCTATAACATTCCATGTGCATTGTTATATAATGAGAGTCTCTGAGAAAACAAAAGTAAGGAGTAACAAAAATAGACCACTAATGAATTCATGAACAGAAAGAAAAATCCAATTCCTTTTAGACTGAGAAGTGCACAATGTAGGACTACTGCTTAGCCATATAATGATTTACAGTTACTATGATAAAATATACATATTTATATTATTTTCATGCAAATAAATTCTGCTCAGGTAATATCTATAAAGTCTGCTATTGTGTTGTTTACTTGATGAAGGTTAAAGTGTGAATGCTAACTAGCTGTGTTTTGCACTTCTACTTAGCCTTTACATCAGCAATGAGTCACGCAGTCTCACCATTTTCTATTCAAGGCTGTTGTTTACTATTAGAACAAAATGGAATGCTAAGACGCTATATCTAGCATCTGAATGTCTTTCTTTTACAACATTCATCAGGAAATCATCTATGTTTTCTTTTAAAGTAACCTGCAACATAAACATGCGCTATGTAACTTTTTCGGTGGGGGGTTTGCCGTCTGCTTGTTTCCATGGAGATGTTATGGATTTGCTTAAATGTTCCACAGTATAGCACTTATATAACAGTATAAGTTAGCTGTCTTGATTATTACAACTCAAAACACAGTGATGACTTTCGTTCTTACTAAGAGTGGGATTGCCTCTTCAGAGATCTGTAACTTAACTCGGTAATGCAACCCCCTTGTCTCCATGGATACAAATATGTTTAAATTTCCTATATTACACAAAATTGACTCATATGAGCTTTAAGCCATGTTATATTGCTGTTATCCCCTCAAAACATACCTGGAGTTGTGTTTTGTTTCATTTACACATGTTTGAGTAACCCTTTATTATTAGTCTGTCTATGGGCCTGTTTACATGAGAACGCTTGGGGGTAAAAACGACAAAATATTTTATCGGAAGTGCCTTTCGTTTAGACAGTGATGGCGTTTTTGGGACTTAAAAATGCAAAAATCTGAAACCACCCTTCAGAGTGGAAAAGTTGAATACACTCCGCCATAGAGTTTCCGTGTACACTGCCCAAGGCGCAAAACTCTCAATCTGCTCACGTCACGTACATGTTTACATACATACAGTACACAAAAACCTGGCATGCATACCCAATGGAATTCCACACATTTTTGCCTCACCGTATGCACGCAGATTTCCTTCCAAAAACACACGCGGATTAAAAACATGCGACGCCACTTTTGCGTCTTCTGTTCAGCCTGTAACCATATAAACGTAGCCTATATTTCCAAAGCTCAAAATGCTCTGTTATGCCTTGTCATGAAACGGTAGTTTTCAGGTTAACAGCTACCTTTTAGCTTTTGTTTAGAAGAGAGTGACAATTCTAAAGCTGAAATTATCCAAATTATTCTAGCAAAGGCGTATGGAACACAGTGGAGCACTTCCTGTATTACCGTATGACATCACAAGGTGGAAGGACAGATTTTTCTTTGAGAGAATACAGCCTAATGTGCAGTTTTTTTGTGTTAAACATGAATGAATGAAACAAAACAAAACTCCTGGCATGTTTTTGATGAGGAGACAGCATTATAACATAGGTCAGAAAATAGCGTAATATGGGCTCTTTAAAGCTTTGCATTCCAGGTAAAGCATTGACATTTGCATGGAGACAAGCAGGTGATGGGCCCTTCACCAAGTTACAGAGAGCATCTATAACATGATGTAAAGACAATTGCTTGTCTTGCTAGAAAGCCTAAGGTAAGAAAGTATGGGTCCAATGCTAGTATGAAATGACAAAGATTTTGTATAACATGTCATTGCTCATAGTCATTGCACAATGCACTAGAATGTTTTTTTTACATGTTATTTTTACTACTACTACAACTCGTAACAATATATTAGCATGTTGTAGTTTACCTGAAAAATCCTGTTCTATAAATGTGAAATCACTTGATCTTGTGTATAGAAAAACATTTAACGGTAAGAGGGGGTAAAAGGAAATCTCTTTAATTGCTTGGCTAAGACCTTTGTGCTTTGAACGTAATTAATTAGTACTTTAAATCGATAATGGCAACAGGTAGCCAGATTAGACATGTGAGGTGGCTGTGTTTTCCAATTTCTATTCTGGCAATTCAGGACTGAGATACACTTTTTATGAAGCCATGTCTGCTTTAGGAACTTACTTCTGGCATATACTGGGCAGCTGTGCATATTTTTAGCTTATAGGCAGATAAAGTTTGAGCTTGTTAGCATGTGAAAGAAGTCTTGGGACTCGATTGAAGAGACATTTAAGAAAGGAGACAGCCTGGCGATGGGAGTCAGAGCTAGATAAGGGTTGGAAAGAAGGGAGGGGGGAGGAAAACTGCGTAGATCGAATGAGAAAAGGGCTGTTTGTCAGTAACAGCATGCTCCGGTGAACACTGCTGCGTGGCTCTGGTGTTGCCGATGGTTTCTATTGAGAGGCTAATAAGGCGATGATATCTGCAGGCCCGAAGAGGGGATTAAGGTATGAGATCCTACGTCGGCGCGAGCAGCCACAGTGAAGGGCTATCAGGGGGTCTGTTACTTTCTATAACATTTATTTTCACGCAGTGTAAGCCTATTGAGAGGGGATAAAATTGGAAATCACGACATAAGTTATGGTACTGATTATGACGCACTACAGTATATTTGATGTTTTACCAAAATTTACCTTTAATTAATTTAAAAAAATCTTCACGTCCAGAAGACAACAGAGCAGTGAGTGAAAATGATGTATACATATGCCACACCTGTATATGGTGCTGTTAACAATGATAATAATATTTAATAATGCATATCTCATCACCGTTTTGTTTAAACTTTAAGGTAATTTAGCATATTTAAGGTGTATCCCAGAAATATAGCCGTTTTGTTTTGCAAAAGTTAAACATAAGTTTTAGTTTTTAGCCATAAGATTTGGATGAGAATTATTAGAATAACTTGGTCTCAAAGTCCAATGGTTTAATTACCCGTGTGTAATCTTTGTTATTGATCCGTGTGCGTATTCTGTGGTGTGTGTTGTTAGCATTAACGCTAACAGCGTGTCACGGTTGCTGGGTGACAGGAGCAGCTCCGTGGCTACACCTGTCCCATTTTGGCAAAAGTCTTGTGGTCCATAGAAGCTAGTTCGAGGACTACAGCCTTCACTGCATTGGAGGACCCTGGCGATGACGGGGTCGTGACGTCATTGTTTTCCAAAAGCTGCTGTTTTCTTGTCCACACAACAACGCAACGCCGGCGTTCTCAGATTTCTCCACTCTGGAACCCGTTCTCAAAAAACACTGTTTTCGTCCACCCAAAACGCCGGTTCCATGTGGACGAAAGGCCAAAACAAATACAAACTTCCCCATTTCGACTAAAAAACGTTGTCATGTGGACAGGCCCTTAATTTAACTGTGCCATAAAACAAAAAGATTTGAAAAAAAAGTACTATAATTTGGACTTTATTTATTTATTTATTTATTGTCTATAAAAATGAAGAACCCTAGCTTTAACTGCAATATTTCTAGTCTTGCATTATTGATATTGCAGTAACCAATATTGGAATATCAATAATTTTGCAATATATTGTGCAGCTCTACTTTCCAAACTTGTAAAACTATTGAGAGCAAATTGGAAAAGTAATTTGCCACATGAAAGTTTCCTAGTCTAAGTTAGCCTTCATTACAGGCCCAGTAATTGAATATGCATACGGTAAAGCTTGTGTGCACAGCGGATAGATGCACTTACCTTCCACACCTGCCGCTGTCATAAACATTTTGTAGGTGGTGTGAAGAAGCTGTCTCCCCTTCAGATTGTCTGCGGGGAGAAGAAAAGAGGAAACCAGAATGAGGATATGGAGGTGATGGAGGTGCTGTGCTGTGTGCTGCTGGGGATTGAGATGAAAAGAACAGAGATATGGGAGCAGATGGTGGAGGAGAGCGAGGGGAACGAGGTGCAGGAGAACAAGGCCAACCGGCAAACGGGTAAATACAAGGGAAGAAGCGATTAATATGCATCCATCTAATGCATCCTCCACTCCGATGTGTCTGTGGAGAATTTTTTTTTAACGTGCCTTTAAGCAGAGTGTTTTTATGGCCAGAACATAGTGGGAAGAGGCGGAGGCGCTAGGGGGGATTTATGGATGGAGGAAAGGGTAATAAATGCTCCCACACTAACACAGCTGGCTGTTTAAGAGCCACAGTGCCCGCCACCACTCCCTCATAGTGACTCACATTGTTCTAAACATGTCACTATCAAATGTCCAAAGCTGTTAATCAACGTATACAAGATGCACATATTAGTTCAGGAAATTGTTATGTGAGCTGTTGAAATTTTTCATCAGTTTTTCAAAGCAGTAATTAATAGGATTACATTAGCGTCTTAATCAAACACAGGTATGGCATTTCGAGATTTACTGTAACTGTGATGATTGGGTATAATTATAGCTTTGAATTTAACGGCTGAAGTTCAGTACAGCACATCAAAAAATATATGGCAGAACAAAGCTATCTTTATACTAGGGCTGAGAGAAGACAATTTCCACAAGAGGAGATGAAACACAGAGACTGGGTCAACGAGAACGATGATTTGAGTGAATTTTGGCGTCACCATTTTTTTTCACCATTTTTATTTTGACTCTTTAATTTTTTTTTCCATATTTTTCATTATATTATATATAAAAAAATATTTTCTCGAACTACAACTTCTAAAAAAATGTAAGTTGCCAGCACTTAACCCTTTTTTGTCCCATCAAAATATAAACACTGGAAAAAAAATCCCACAAGTTTGTTTCTCTCATTTGTGCAGTCTTGTGGCAGTTTTGTCTCACGAGATCTTGTTACACAAGATCTTGTCCAGTCCCTACTTTTTACTAGAGATGTAACAATATCCAAATCTCTCAGTACAATATGCTTTGGAATGCTAACAAAATAATGAATATGTTACTTTTTCTTTTTGAAATGCCTTCACAAGACTTTGGTTCTGTCATCATCTAAAAAAGTCACATTTAAAAGTGCTTAACAGTTATTCTTTCATGTAGTCCGCACTTAAACAGAGCAAAGCATTATGGTATATGTAGTTTCTTCTTTCTTTTTTTTTTTACTATTGCTGCACCACAACAATGAATTTCAGCAAAGAGACTTGTGGCTCATGATATTATTGTGAGACTTTGTATGATACGATATTACTCTCCAAACTCCGTGCACATGCGCCATGAAGGCAGCCTCGCCCCTGTCAGCCAGGTGAAGGGGGCCACTATGTAGCTTTTTGTTAGCTGTTAGCCTTTTGTTTGACCTGGTGGGACTGACTGTCCTGTTTTCGCCTTTTCTTTGGGTTGAGGTTTGTTGGCTTTTTTTTTTTTTTTTTTTGTCTTAGTTATTGGTGTTGGCACTGGCTTCTACGGCCCTGTATGGGGTTGGCCCAGTGTAGCACCTTTTTGTTCTGTTTGGCCGGCTCATCAGGTCCACCTTTTATTACTTTTTATTATTTTTTGGGCACATGAGGGTTTTAAATAATTTCTTTAAACCAACCAAAAAGAAAAACAAACAAAAAGACAACATTAAAATGAGGATGCCCTTCGGGTTGTAACAGAGAGCAAAGCATTATGGTCTATGCAGTTTGTTTGTTTTTTTTGTTTTTTTTTATCTTTTTATTTTATTTTTTTTAACTATTGGTGCACCACAACAATGAATTTAATCAAAGAGACTTGTGGCTCACAATATTATTGTGAGACTATTTACAATATGATATTATGATATTTTGATTATTGTTACCTTCCTACTTTATACTTCATCTGTTTCTTTTTATTTAATTTACAAGCACTGTGAGAAAACAGGACTATTGAGAAAGGAATCTAGACCTCAACAGTTAACTATGTCCTTTAGTCTATTTTCGTGGCTATTTTGTTTATTTTTGTTTAAAGCTACCATCTGTAAGCTCTGTATGCTATCAGACAGCAGCAACTTAGATATGATCTAGTGGTGATATGTGAGAATACAGCAGGGCAAGGTCTGCCACTCTAATAATAAATAGCTTTAACATTACAGACCATTAACTTTCAGGGTTTTCTTTTTTTTACTAGGGACCACCGATTTAGCTTTTTTTGTTCCAATCCAATTCCGATATTACAGCTTTAAGTATATGCTGATACCTGATATCAGCCAATACCACAGGGAGACTGAAAACACTATTTATTTCCTTTAAACTAATTTAAAACATGATAAAACATCTTATTTTATTGTGTTATAGCTATTATTTATCACTCAAATAACAAAAGAACAACTTTGTATTACTAAAAGTTCAAACATTTCTGAAAGACCTATGAGTAGAGTATAGTCTTTTTACATTGATTTATATGTCCAGCCAGGATATTGGCTGATAAAAGTAGTAACTTTTGGCCAGTTTTCCTACACTTACACATACTTTTGAGCATATAATCAATATGGCTTAAATTGGCTGAAATTCAGGTCTACAAGGTAGATTCATTGTCCTTAAGAAAGTCCTACCCTTTTCTGTAAGACTCTGGAGTGTTATTTTAAGCCTATAATATCTCCTTTACAGTCAAAGTCCAAAGAGGCATCTGCAGCTCATTAGGCATTGTGTTTTTCTTTACAGTGAAGCTGCTATTTAAACAGGAGCCATACCAGGCCCTTATGGGAAAGCAACCAGGCTAGTTTTCAAAAGCATTTCTGTGCACAAAGGGACAGAGAGCGTTATATAGCTATAATATGGTCTGCTGATGGGAAAAAAAGAACATTTAGATTTTTCAAAATTAATAAAAAATCTATGTATAATATCGTAAAATAACATGTATTGAATTTGTGAGAGACATTGGCAAGTCTTGTATATTGACAAGATTCTGTTAGTATGCAGGTAGTAATGTATACAACCTTGGAGAGCCGCACTATGCTACAGCACCTTTCTGAGTCTCCAGACAGCTTCAAAATCTACAAACTATTCCCAATTTTGCAGCTTTACTTGTAGAATAGTAATTTTCCAGTAACACTTCTCTGCGGAAGATTGTAAATTAATTTAAGAGATACACAAGCAAAAATATTATTCATAACAGCGTCTGCCCTCTCTTCTTTGAAAGCTTGAATTATAGTTATTATAATTTTTTTGTTTTGTTTGTTGGTTTAAATTATGATTACAATTCAAATTTCAGTTATGAAGTTGGTTTAAAGGGCCCATATTATGCTATTTTCTGATCTATGTTATAATATTGTTTCTTCATCAAAAATATACCTGTAGTTGTGTTTTGTTTCATTCACACTTTTTTAACACGCATACCATGAGTTCGTCTCTCAAACGGAAAACACTCTGTTCCACTTTGTGATGTCATGTTATAATACAGGAAGTGCTCCACTGTGTTTTTAAACTCCGTACACCTTCACTAGAATAATTTGGATAATTTCAGCCCCAGAATTGCCAGTCTCTACTGAACTAAAGTTAAAAGGTAGCTGTTAATTTGAAAACTACTACATGACATCACAAGGTGGAGCATTTTGAGCTTTGAAGATGTAGATAGACTGAAACAAAACACAACTCTGGGTATGTTTTTGAGGAGGTAACGTTATAATATGGCTTAAAGCTCACAAGAGTCAATATTGTGCAATAGAGTACCTTTTAAAGTTAAATGTAACTTGGCAAATAAATGCACATATTCAAATAAGACTAATATTGCCAGTTTAATATAAGTCAGAGATATTTTTCTGTAAACTAGTCACACAATCTAGGTGTAAATTTCTTGCTGCTCAGAGCTCTGGCCTTCACATGACAGACAAATTCGCTTCAGTAACCTTGCAGCTGCTCCTCCTTCATCCATTCAGCCGTTTAAACCTTAACATGAAACCAAACCCCAGCCTTGGGAGAAAGTAGGTGCATGTTCGATCTCTTACTACTTTTGGGAGACATAAAAATCTACTTTTCGTCCATCAGAGGAACATGTTAAAAAGAGGAGCTACATTAGACACTTAATGCATGCTTTTAACAGATATACTCACAGGCAAAGTAGCAGGAGAGCAAGAACACCATGGAGAAAATGACCAAGAAGGTAATGTCTGTCTCCAAGATCCCTGAGGCAAAAGGGAAAAAAAAGTCAGCCTGCAAAATGGTCTGTTATAATCTAATATATCTTTGCAATGCACTAAAGACAGGGTTTCATAAATCTTTAAACAGGTTTTATTGTTATAATGGTCTTAAGTCACCACAACAATATCATTTAGGGCTTGGTCTGTGACATAGGAAACTCTGGCTGGACTCCTCACAGCATTGTTATAATACGCTTTCATGTTTTTATTAAAAAGGATGAGATGGCAAGTGCAATACAGAGAGAAAAGTCATAGATCTGAAGTAAGAAAAAGAAGAATAGAACAGAAATAGAGTCAAACATTTTAAGCTTATTATTAATTTATCATGTAGTAAATGTCTTCACGTTACTTTTTGTTTTTTCATCTAACAGACCAGTTTGTTTATTTACCTTGACATATTTCGATTGCCTTCTGTAGTCATCATCAGGAGAGTGACAAACAAGAACGCCCCCTCGTCTTGGTTCAGAGTATTATTACACACATTTCTGGATTTCTATTGCCTCTTTTATGGTGTTTATTATCCTCTGTCCCATAATAAATGCTTGTGATGATGACTAAATGTCGATGATGGCTACAGACAGTAGTCGAAACATGTCAAAGTAAACAAACAAACCATTCTGTTAGATGAAAACAAAAATGTAATCTGAAGAAGAGAAAGCCAAATGGACATTTTAGGAGTATAGTAATCCCTCAGTCATGTAGGTAAAGTCCATTGTCTATTAAGTACATAGTTCAACTGATTGAATTTAGCTCGTTACCTTCTGAACTGACTGAGAGGTTGGCTATTGATCCATGTAATAAAAATGCAAAATGAGAATATCAAGTATTATCTATAATGTAAACAAAAGCTATTGAATAAAGCACTATTAATTATTAAAAGAAACTTCTGCGTTATCTTCCAAACAGCATAATGTGATATTACTGCATTTTTAAGGTTCACTTTCCAAACGTATGATCTGATTTTTGTCACCAAGATAAAAATAATACTGAAAAAATATCTTTGTTCATTATCACCCACCTTAACTTACTTTCACAGTTTTTCCAGTAGCGTATTTATGTACCTGTCATCTCTCTCTCTCTGTTGTTTCAAAATACATGTGTTACTATCCCCTTTTGAATCTTGCAGCCTTAGTTAATAAAAACACTGGTACAGTAAAAGTGTCGGTGAAGTTGTAGGAATAATTCATTTCATTTGTAAAGCACCTTGGCTGTGGCCTCCATCCCCCTCACGCCTCCATGAGAGTTCATCTATCATCATTATCTGCTTCAGACTTGGTTTCATTATTGTCATTTGTTCAGTCACTGTGCTTTATTAGCCGTGCTAAGTGGTGCTGGCTCGTGCCGTCAGACGTTCCATCTCAAATCTCCCTCTCTCTCTTTGTTTCCTTTTTATTTCCACTCACCAAACTCATCCGCTGAGAAGTGCTTGGTCCAGAAAGACTTCCCATTGGTCAGGTTCATCTCATACTCCAGCTGCAGTCCATCCCCCTGATAAGAGAAGAGACATAGGACATGAGTTGCTTATTTTTTATCAATTGAATGTTGTAGCATGTTTCTGGAAATAAATCTAATTGCGACTGTGATTTTATTTTTTACAGCTCATCACTACATTGCTACTGTTTGTTTTGTTTGTTTGGTTAAATGATGGTTGGTTTGAAAAAATAAAATCAGCTAGAGACATAGGACACAAGTTGCTTATCTTTAATCAAATGAATGTTATGGCATGATTCTGGAAATAAATCAATACATAGGTTGTGGTTGCAATTAGATACTTAATGTATGTTTAAAAAGTTGAATTCTGCTCAGAGTGCACATTTTAAACAACACCAGGAGCATTCACATTTGAAAGAAATATCAACTGACAGTAATACAATACAAGAATCCCATGTATTTTCTGTTCAAAGACAGAATAATTTTTCCTTTACAGAGGACAATTTATTATCTAAATAATTGCAGACTTTGCCATTTGAAGTGCAGCAACTCCATTTCAATTTGATTGTGTTATATTATGCAGCCCTATTAGCAATCAATCTGCCCACATCTCAATAATGTACAAATCATGGAAAAATGTTTATGTAAAAATTCATATCATAATAAAGAAATAGATATAAAGTCAAATCTGTTTTTGTCGTAATTGTAATATTTTTTGTCGAGAGTTCTTGTATTCAAAGGTCAGTAAGCAATCTGCACAATCCTCAGAATTTCATCAGGGCATCTGAGCAATTATGAGGTATTGACTTTGGAAAACAATATAATTAAGTTCATGATTATTATGCCAACATTTATTATGGTGGCAGAATATGTCCCCAAGCAACTTTTCCCAGTGACATTGTGATGTAATAGTTTGGCACAGGGCCCTACCCAGCTACACTCAAGATACAACGCCATTGTTTTGTGATATTAACAATGCTCAAGTTATATATTGCTTTGAGTAACAGTTGGACGTTGTACAGCAACAACTACAGTATTAATAATGCATTATAATTGTAGGGTTTAAATTAGGGGAGGCAATTAAAGGTCCTATATTACACAGAATTGACTCTTGTGAGCTTTAAAGGTGCACTGTGTAGCTTTTCTGGGCTCCGGTCTGCTACATGCTTGTCTCCTTGATGATGTAAAGTAAAGAAATAAATTTGGCTACCACAATGGAGAGTTAAGTTAATGTTAAGACAAGTTAGATTAATAAAATGTTTTCAAGGTATTTTTGAGCAATAAAACACCTGTTATTTAATAAATGCAAGGCATGAAATGTGGAGCATTACATGCAAAGAAAAAAAACAAAACAAAAACAAAAAAAAAACATCAAACCCTCCACCTTAGAAGTTACACAGTACACCTTTGAGTCATGCTATAATGCTGTTCCTCATCAGAAACATACCTGGGTTGTATTGTGCTGCATTTCTCCAAAGGTCAAAATGCTCGGCTACACCTTGTGATGTCATGAAGCGGTCTTTTTCAATTTAACCTTTTGTAATTGGCAATTCTGAAATGATTCTTTTGAAGGTGTACAGAGTTTAAAAACACAGTGTTACCACATGACATCACAAGGTGGAACACAGTGTTTTCTGTTTGAGAGAAGAACGCAGCCTAAATATGCAGGGTTTGTGTGAATGAAACAAAACACAACTCCAGGTATGTTTTTGATGAGGAAACAACATTATAACATAAATCAGACATTAGCATAATATTGGCCCATCCATGTTTTTTGTATGGAGAAAGTGAACATTAGTCTGACAAATACACAGCTGAAATGACTTGTAGAAGTAGAATTTTTAAAAACAGCACATATTGTGGTTTGAGGGCAGAGTTAGAGACAGCACTGAAGCATCTGATGTGCAATAAACACAAATCCAAGCCTTTAAAAGATCTGCTGATACCATTCTCCTGCTGCCACAATCACAACAGTCAGGAGTTTGTTAAAGACTTTTTGGCATCAAATATGTACTTCTCTTATCTTTCTATCATTGTCTGCTGGCCTAAAAATATCAAAACTAAACAGTAAGAATACAAAGGGCACGTTTATTTAGATTTAAACTACTTAATTCAATCCAAAGTTAGATTGACCAGGTGGCTCTCAACAAGTCAGTCCAGTGGCATTGAATAATATGAACCAGTTGAATAACCAAAGTATCCATAAAACGACACCTTAGATAACATAAAGGCACACATGGTACTACTGTTTTCATGATACTAAAATTTCAAACTCGATTTTGATACTAAAGAATAGAATACTTGATTCCAATACCACAATGATTTAAAAAAAACAAAAAAAAACAAAAAAAAACGCACAATTAGTTATTTTCAACTTTAAATAATAGCACTTTTTTTATATTACCATACAGTGTTTTGAAATCCCTCAATCCTTCAGGTAGATTCTATAGTGGTCCATGTCTCTAGTCTATGTACTTGTTCTGATACAGCGTAATATCATTCTAAAGCTATTCAGGAAAGGTTCATTTCAGTGCTGTGAATGTGATTTTTTTAGCATTAGTACCTGAAAATACAACAAACTTCCAATTATACTTGGCTTATCCCATTGCCAAGCTTTTCAAAATTTCCTTTTTTTATGCCTCAAAGTTTAATGTCTTGAATTCTTTTGCAACATATTTCTAAAAAAAAAAAAAAGCATGAAAATAGTAGAAAAGGAGATAGCTTGCAACAAAAACTACATCTGCTTTACATACATGTCAGAATATCATAAAAGTGAAATATTACAAAGCTCCGTCGGTCTTGTCTAAGCTCATTTACGTGGCCATCCCTGCAGCATAAACCATCCTCCACAGCTCACAGTGTGTCATGTGATTCCCCTGCATCAGTATTCACCACGGCGTGTTCTGTGGAGCGGCCACTTTCTCTGCATGCTACGGGGGCTTGAACGCGCAAATTGTGTCCCACCAGCTCCACATTCAAACACAACCCAGATCTAGGTAGTGCTTTTTCTTAGGAGGAGGGGAGGAGAAGAGAAAAAAAATCAGTGCCATCTCTACAGGGAGGTGTGCTGTGTTAGTATAGCACCAGCTGTAATTGTGTCATATACTGAACCGGTTTCCCAGCAGCGCCTTGGGATCCCTTAGGCGCAGGGCTGAAGAGAAAATAAAATAATCCCGGGCCGCTCAGTCTTAGTGCGCTGCCAATACAAGAATGACCCACATTATCACAAAGGACAGGTAGATAGATGGATAGATGTGTAGTCATAGCAACACTTTTGATTCAATGGAAAAGTATTCGCCGAGTGAATTATTTACCGACACACACAGATTCTTTTAGTTTTTCATAAGACTGCATAATACATTTCAGTTTGAACGGAAAACAAAGGACGCTTTTTCAATTTTGAATGTTGTCTATCTGTGCTAGTATTGCCAGTCACTATTGTATGTTTCCATGCCTACAGTATTCTGAGTATGCTCTTTGTCTGATTTTTGGTTGATTTCCCTGATTCTTGTCCCTCTCTACAAGCAGATTAGAAAGAATAGCTGCAAATGAAGAGTAAGAGCTATTCAGGGGTGTCCAGTAATTGCAAATAAAAGCTTCTAACATGCTTTACACACAAGCCCGATGAAAAATGAGTTCCCCTTGATTTAAAAGGTAAACACATGTCTAATATTTGCCTGGTCATCTCTTGCTCCATGCAGTTGAATGCCTCTCCTGGCATTGTTGGAGTATGTTGTATATGTGCAGCAGTTCGTAGAGTATAATCATTGTTGTCCATTTGGGCTGATAAGAGAAATCAAGTTCTGTGTCTACATGGATTTTTACCAAATATCAAGATATAGGTAAAGATGTCATATACTTCAATATCGATTCAGCACTGTTTATTTATTTTTGGCTTGCCTACGTTAGAAAAATAACTCTAACAGAGAAATAGCTCTTAAAAATGTCCTGATGTTATTATATTTATTGTGATGTGTGAACAACTGTGTCTAAATAATTCCCCTTGTGGATCAATAAAGTCTAAGTCTGTGCTGTACTGAAGGCACACTGCCAGTTTAGCCTGCATCATCAGAGGTATAATACTCCCTACAACTGAAGCATAGCCACACTGCACTGTACTGAGTGGAATGGACAACACTATCACACTGTCTTGAGGCTTGATGTCTCTGGGTGCTGGGTCTGTACTGATGGTAAATACATTTTTCTTGTGTTAGAACTCCAGCATCGTGTCTCTTCTCTTGAGGCTACTACAATTTATTCTCCAACAACAGCCTACTTTTGAGATAAACAAGACAAACTGGGAAGCAGCAGGATACATGGGGAACTGATTTAGAAAAGTTGAACAAAGTCACATTGAATCTGGGTCAGTTAGTTTGTTAGTAACACATTTATAGTTAAATGGATTGTATATATGTCTCTTAAAAGAAAATGCAACATACATAATGACTGAATGTTTACGTTCACTCAAGCATCTTACAAGTGTACAGTCTTTTTTAGATCTTGCGAATTCAAAGTTTTATGTTTTTAATAACTAAAAAGCTTTTTACTTTTTCTTCTCTCCAGTTAGCGAAACTTCTATATTATGTATTCAGTTCTGTTTTTAAAGTTTAACACACAAATCCACGCAACAAAACGCATCACACTTGTGCTCTAAGCCACCAGATCATGCAAATTTCTGGCTGTTCCTTTGACAAAGCGGGCGTGCGGTGGGGCGAGAGGGGGGAGGGTGGGGGAGAGAGCGGTGAGGTAGGTGAGATAGAGGATGGAGATCAGTGGTGGGGGGCCGCGGCGCTCTGACAATCACACCAAAGCCAGCTCATTTCACACACGCCTGTTCAAAGTCAATGGGGTTTGTGCCTGTTGCGGTGAAGCAATGAAAGAGAAAAGCATCAGCATGGAGAGAGAGAAAGAGAGAGCGTGTGAGAGAGACAGAGAAAAGGATAGATAGATACTTTATTGATCACCAGAAAAGGAAATTGAGGTTCCATGTAGCTCAAATTCACATATTCCATCACACACTAAAACAGTTAAAAGATTAATAAAAAAGCAATAAATAG